GCCACAGATCCTCCAGTGGACCAGCCACTGCAGGAGATTTTGACCCTTCTCCAGACCACCGGAACCACTGAACAACAAGTGAAAGAGGCCTCAATCAAGCACCGCGTTCCCAATGACAAGGTGAAGAAGTTTTTATCAAACGTTTTCAGAATTTGGTGGGCCACCGGCACGGCCATGGCCTGCTGACTCGTCAGCGTAGCACTCCTTTCCCCGTCTCATGAAAACCTTCTCCGCACGCGCGCCCTACACCACGCATTGTCCACCCTTGTCCACAAAGCCACCTTCATTGACTGCACCGAAGCCATTTTCAGCATTGGTTTGGTCCACCTGACAGCACTCTTCACTTACCCGTCCAAGACCCATCGCTCTCAACAATGGCGCCAACGCTTCTGCCAGCTTCACATCACACCACACAACTACCGCTTCATCGGTTCCTTTCACCCAACTCCGTCTACGTCCAACTCAACTTCAATCGCCGTGTCACTCGACACAGGCCACTTCTACATCGGCTCCACTTCGCTGGGGGCTTCATTCGATGAAGCGCGCGATCTACGTTCCGGGCACTACAGCAATTTGGAGGTCTACGCCTTCAGACGCATGGCAGCAAGCCTAGAATACCCGGCGAGAGGGAAGCAATTCACATCATCAACCAAGCCCGTCACTTCTCACCCTACATGCAAACAACGATGTTCTTCAACTCCGTTCCCCAAGATCGCCTGATTGATGCAGTCCAGAGCCTCACTACGAAAATGGAACCTCACACACTCTACCTCCACCTCACCATTGACATCCAACAAGCAACAGGCGACCAACATTCCCACATCGGCCGCCATTGCCGCAGCCATGCTGCCCATCGCACCATCGACGCAATGGACATACCCCACGTTGTCCAGCGCTCAACACATGCATCTTCCAAGCTTCCGCCGCCTTCTTTTCCGCGAGGCGCCGGCATAGGCTCTCAACTCTCACCAGCTCAGCACTCTGCAACGTTCCTGGACTCAGCCCCACCATTCCCTCACTGATCACACCCAGGCCCATAATTTTACATACTACCGACATGTGGACAATCGGTTCACCACCTTCAACGAGGATTTCCTCAACTTGACGAAGGCACCAAGTAAGAGCAGTTGCAGTGATGGCGAAGGCCATTGCGCTTGGTTGTAGCCTGTAAAAGGACAGGACGGCAGCGCACCAGTCGACAGTCTGTAGAGCAGCTATTCCTACGTTCTATCGCCGCAGCCTCCATGAGCAGGACCATCCATGGTGCACGAAGGGAGGCATCCTGCCACTTCCCGCAGTACCTAATCTTCAAGTAAGTGCTATTTCACTGGATTCTGATAACTGGTTCAGCTCTTGTGAGCATATGTCTAGAATAAGTGCGCGCGCGCGTGTTGGGGGCTTCTTGCGTTCAAAAACGTTTAAAAAAGACACCGCTGACATGGCTTCTGTTTTTCAGCATGATGGCGGCGCGGGCGGAAAATGGGTACCCCAACCATGCAACCGGTTGGTTGGGCGTGATTCCACTTCATTCACTTGGCGACCAATTCTGTTGCACTGCTCAGCGCAATTGTGCTGGAGGCATTTGCTCTAGTGAGGGAACGTTCTCAGGCTTAGTTGCCAAGAGCAGGTGCTTAGGCACTCGTTCAAGAGTAGCAAGCCTTCGGATCATTTGATTTCGGAACATGGCCGCGCGGCAATCACAGGTGGCCTGTTTGGCTGTCCGGTCCGTTTGCGCATTGCGGCCATTTGTACATAGTGTTTAACCACTTTGGTTGCGAAATGTTTGTGCCGAAGTGCTTACTTGTGGTTGCGGTCAAAAGTCTTGAACTGGATTCGCTTGCCGGGTTGTCATGCTTTGTGCTGCTGATAGCAATTTGGAAGCGAAAAACAATTGAAAGGTGGGCGCTGGTGACGATGTGCATATCCAGAATCCAGGCTCATCCAGGTTGCAGAGGCATGTGTCGGCACTTTTTTTCGTTAGCGCATCAAAACGGCCAACGTTTGATATCATGCAGACACCAAAGTTTTTAGAAGACACGGTAGATTTTGTTCTGCCGTGTTGCAGCGTGAACTTCGGAAACAATATACCGATTTAAGGTGTTCTTTGTTGTTTTGTGTTTCCAAATGCAAAGCTGAAAAGATAAACCGTGGTTTTTGCCTTGCGTTGTTTTTAAGCAACTTGCGACCCATGTGATTTTCGAGTCCAGAGCAAATTAGATGACTAGACAGTCGGGAACAACAGGCTCAAACTAGATTTGTCGGATCTAAGGCCTGTTTTATTGAATCCCGACTTGCAGGTTGTGCGCAAACTCTTCATGTTTCATCGTGTCACGCCATTCAGCAGAGCAACCAGATGCACCATCATGTTTCTTCGACCATTTGATTTAACCAACTGGTATTACAACATTGATTCTGTTCAACATTGTGGCCAGCAGGCGGCAGTTCATCCACAATGTACTTTGATTCAAACTGTTGGTAGAATGACTCAGAGTTCAATGCAAACTGTTTTCTTTACACATTGGATCCTTGACTGGTTCCTGATGTTGGGACTTTGTTTGGATACCAGGCAGGTGGGCCACTCGCAACAAAAACACGCAAAGACACACCTGCCAAGGAACTCCCCTTTGGGATGGAACTCGTTGCGAAGAAGTTGCCGAACAAGCGCCAAAGTGCATTGTGAGGTCCGTGAGGTCTGTGTGTCCTTTCTTTTTGAGTTGTTACAGTTACAGTTGTCCGTTGAGGTCAATTGGTGGAATGGTGGCTCCTCCCTTGGTTTTTGATCGTAGGTAGAGATCTGCAAATTAATTCGAAAAAATATTGCTGAGCCAGGCTTCTGCAGGCTGATGCCACGACCTAAATGCTGAGTCAAATGTAACGGAAATCTCAAACGGTTTCCTTTGTTGAACCTTTCAAACTGGGTAGCCCACGTTTTGTTACAGAATGTGAAGCCCTTTCAGTCCGTTGAGTGGATGTGGGATGCTGTGTGAGGCCACCTATATGCATGTTAACAGACTTGGCCTGAGTTGGGTTTCGGAATGACGCCGAACAAAGCGTTGTATATCGCGAAAGCCAGCTGATAGCAAGTCGATGATAGGAAAGGGGGGCAACGGGACGTGAAAAGTGGTTGGGAAACGCCTCCGGGAAAGGAAGGTGCGTCTCTTGTGGCTATTTAAATAGTCTTTGAACGGGGGTGAAAAGGAGGCGCGCGTCTCTCAACACACTGTTGTCTTGTGGAAATGGTGTGATCTGCGAGGGCAGCAGAGGGAACAGAATGCGGTGGGCCTTTCTTTAATGGTGAAGCGGCGCAGTAGCCAGGCGCAAAAGGGCGTGTGGAAGACAGGCATAGCGGAAGAGGACGTGGTAGGAAAAGAGGGATTGCAAGAAGTCTTTGAGTTGCTTGGGGGCGCTCTTTTTCATGGTGAAGACGCCTGTTAACTACCATACGCAAAAGGGCACGCCCATATTGGCCCATATGGGGTGGGAGTTAGCGGGGGAGGATGTGATAGAAAAAGAGGTGGGGGGGCTCACCAGGGAAGCGAGAAGTGCGTTGCTCAGCGGCAAGGGAGATGTATTGGGAAACAATGAAGCGTGAAAAGTGGTTGGAAGTCCTTCTGACAAGGCAGATGCGCGTCTTCCAACACTCTGTTTTCTTGTGATCTGTAGAGGGAAGAGAATGCAGTGGGCCAGCTTTCAACTGGTTGGGGAAGAGGCCTGTTAAGCAGAAGCAAAAGGGCGTTCATGGAGAGGAGAGGCATCGCGGGGGCGGATGTGATAGAAAAAGAGGTGGGGAGCTCACCAGGGAAGCGAGAAGTGCGTCGCACAGCACTCTGGAGAGAACGTGAATATTAGAGGATAGGAGGGAAGGGGACAACGTGACAGGAAAAGAGGTCGGCTGGTGAGTAAGAGTGGAAGGGAACGTCAGTGGTTGGCTCTGGCGCGGATCGATCGAAGTTCAGGCTATGCACTGTAAGGGTGGATGGGAGTGGGCGCAGGTTTATGAGTCCATCCACAAAACACGGAACCCAGCCGCAGACAAGCAATGACTTCGCTGTGCCTTTTTTCTCTTCCAAACACCCCTTCCTCCAAAAGAAAACGCACCTGTGACTGAAGGCCTGTCACGTCGGCCCCGCATGCCTCCCAACGCTTCCCCTGCGCTCTCGCGTTCACCCCCATTGACCATGTTCATATGTCCTCACGGAGGCTGGCACTCACTCTCGCACTCTCACTCACACTCGCACCCACCTTCACTCTCACTCACACTCACTCACACTCACACTCACACTCCCTCTCACTCACTCACACTCTCACTCTCACTCTCACTCTCACTCTCACACTCACACTCACACTCACACTCACACTCACACTCAGTCACTCTCCCACTCTCACACCCGCGCTCTCACTCACTCACACTCACTCTCACTCTCGAGCCACTGCTGCGTGTTCTAATTGGTGACACTTAGCGCGTCTCTGTCTCATCACTAGTTAAGGGACACTTCCCAACGCTTCCCAACGCTTCCCCTGCGCTCTCGCATTCACCCCTGGTGACTAATTCATATCCATACAAAATATAAGTAGAGGCCGTTCCCTAAGAGAGCATAAATGAGCAAATGTAGAGATTGCGAGAGGTGCCAGTTTGAATGTGAAGCGAAGGCCTGCACCTGTAGAGCTGTGTTGGGACGCTTCCCCATGCGCGCAGTTTCTGTTTGGCCCTCAGTGCATTCATGGCACTCACTAGACCCTATGGCAGCATGTTTGCCACCACGATCCGCTTGCTCTCTTTGTCTCTGTGCACAGATTTGCATACGTGCTATGGTAAAATGTCTTGTTCTTGCACTTGTCAGGGTGTCTTCTTTACTTCTTAAATGAGTCCGTTTAAAGCCCCGAGACATGTTTCCAGCAATATTGGCTCAGCTTCTAGCAGCCATTTGGGCTGCAGCCGGCTTTGCGGTGATCGAATAGCAAAGAGCGTGCCAGTGCACCGTGTGCACGTTCATGGTTTGATGGGGATTTTGCTAGATCCCAAAATTCGCGACAATGTGCTGCTGCCAATTTTTGTGGTGGTTGTCCTGACATCTATGATTCGATCGAGCCTGATGATACTCTTCAAATCGGACCCCAAAGTGGATGTGAAAGAAGTGAAGACGCAAAGCATGCTTGGGAGATGCAAGATGCTTCGTGCAGCATCCCACTTTCTCACTGAGAAAGCATTCAAGTCCCGCAAGGCATATTTTGTCAAGAAAGATGTAGGTGTCTTGGTGAAGTCTGTGCCCAAGGCGAAAGACCCAATGGAAGCCTTATCTGCAGGATCAGATCCAATGGCAGCGACGGGGATGATGAAGGGGCAAATGGTCTTCATGGTCTCTCAAGGGCTGCTAGCATACTGGGTTTCTCACCTCTTTTCGGGCTTTCTGGTGGCAAAGACTCCGTTTCCATTGACATTCCAATTCAAGGCAGGGCCGGGCGGCCAAATGCGAAAAAGAACAGCCTCTTTGTTCAGTGTTTGCTTTCTGCGGGTGCCAGGGGATGCTGCAACGAGGAGTAGAAGTGACAGCACTAGAACCGGGGTACGTCTCTTCATTGTGTTGGTACATGTGGCTTGGCCTGGTTTGTGTCCATTTGGACCTTTTCACCATTTCACTGAGATGCATTGTTCATTCGGACGGTAAACTCCTCATCTCCCCTTGCTCTGATTTGCTCTTGTTGAGGTTTGTGATGATGAGTAGTCACAGCCTCATCGGATTGGTACAGTCATTCTTCACCAAGTCGGACGTTGAAGCAGAGGATCCGATGATGGCTATGACTTTTTATCTGCAAGAGTTGGGATGGGGGTTGGGTGCGTCAAACACATTGGCTGTTTTGCACCTGGCCATGTCTTGACAGTTGCCGTTTGCTAAGGATGGGAACCATGGGTGGAGCACCCATGATGCCAGGCGGTGGACCTGATCCTGCTAAGGTCTACAAGACTGAACAAGACCCCAGACTGCAAAGGAACTTTTGTGACCCAACTATGACCACATAGCACTATCAGTCTGCCATGACATTCTTGGTTTTGATGATAGCACGGATGGAGACTGGTGGAACTGCAGTAAGGGCGAATACACGATTTGCTGTTTCCATCCTTCATGGTCGTGTCTTTTAAGATAGCAGTTCGATGCAACGCAAACTCACTTGTTTTAGGGGCAGCACCAATGACCTGCGCAACAGCACCTTTGCTCACCCATTTTGGGTTGTGAAAAGCCTTTATTGGCGTGGTCTACTAACTTTGACAATTGATATCAAAAATCATTGGTGCTTCCCCAATCATGATTGCCTAATCAACTCCCCCCTGGTCCAGTCTCTCACCCCTTCCGTGCCGCCCTGGACCGGTTGCTTCTCAACCTCATTTACCTCTCTACTTCATCCACTTTATTCTTACCCACCCTTGCCCCTGGGCCTGATTTTGATTCTCCTTTTGATCCTGAGCCTCATGCTGGTCGTCGCATTCTTCCTCATGCTCCGAATGCGCATCCTTCGCTGCATGCTCGTCCTCACGCCCAATATCGTTCAATGCTTGTGCACAGTTTGCTGGTCTGCCGGTCTGCCTTTGCTCTACCTTGGTTCATTGTCCCCTGCCTACCTCCCCTCCGAGCCCTTAAGTCCACTTTGAACTCTTCGAGCTCAGCAAGCGGATGTCTGGCCGAGGACAATTTGGAGATGATTTTGCACGAGTTTGTCCTTGAGAATGTTGAGACCGAGCTGTGGCGCAAGTGGAAGAATCAGGGCTGAGTCCAATTGCAAAGCTGCGAAGAAAAGGAGCAGGTTCCACCATGTTCCGCCCAGATACGTCAGGAGACTAGTAGACCACACTGCTTTGACTTGCCAGCTGACAAGACTACTGTACTGAATTCATATACTCTAACCACAACTTCGGAAGTTGCCCTTCGTGCTGAATTATAAGGCATGCAGAGCAAGAGCGCGAAGACGTCGCTACATGCGCAAAACGGAGGTGAGAAGCCACTTGTTGGATATCCGCTGAAACAATGTGCTATACTTCTTTGGTATGTTTCCAGGTCTGACACCATAAGTCTAAGTCTAGGCAGAGTGCTTCAGAAAATACTGACAGAACTCGAGTCAACTCGAGTCTTCCAGCTGGTGAGGCAGAATACATACAGCTGGAGGATGTCTTCCTTTCAGAACCGTCAAGTGCTTGGAAAGGTTAATTAGAACGTGCTTGGAGCTTGTGGAAAGCAGGTTTTGTTTCCTTAATACATTTCATTAGCCAAAATGCCATGCCATTTTGGCTCAAGTCCGCATTCCATTGAAAGAACGACGTGTATGGCATTCGCTCTCCCCTACTTTCACTGATCGCCATGGCAAGCACTGTCACTGGCTCGGGAGAATTCTTCGACTGGTCCATCCTTGATGGAGCGGAGACCTCGTTCACTTTGGACCCTTCTGAAGCGGATGCTCGTGAGAAGGAACTCTGCCTCATGGAAGTTCCAGGAAGAGGCTGTCATCGAGAATGCGGGCCATGTGGATGATGCCCTATAGCCGGCACATGCCCACACCATCCTTCCCAATGATGAATCGGAATGTCACCCCTCCGGCTGGTACAGTCGCCCGTGGCGCTGAAGACCAGATGGCGGGGGAGACGGCCCTGGCGCCTGCGGCGGTTTTGGTGGCAGCGGCGCCCACTACTTCCTCGAACTCCCCGATGACCTCCCACGCGGCGGCCTGGGCTACACCAAGACTGTGGAGACTTGGTGGCGCCCATGGAGGTCGATCCTTCTACTCCACCGACTAAGTCGCCCCCGACGGAACCTCCTCTGCGCCAGCGCAAGCGCAAGGACATGGAGTCGCCGTCTGTTGTTTCGGAGGAGGCAGTCGCCTGTGGCGCTGCGCGTGTTGGGGAAGACCTCGTGGGTTGTGGTCAGCATCAGGCCATTGTTGAAGACTCCTCGCCTCACAAAAGACCAGCGCAAGGGCATGAGGGCCCCACGGTGAGCCAGAGACATTGCTGGCCGCGCCGCCTTCACATCTCTAAACCCTGCCTGCCAAGCGCCCCAAAGCGCCCCGAACAATGGGCCCCACTCATTATTTCACAGCAGTGCCACCCATTCAACCTACCCCCTGCTCTCCCCCTTTGCCGTGGCATGGAGACGCCAGTGCTGGTGATTCCGGAAGCTTTGTGGGCGGATGGCTGAGCGACCGTGCAAATCCCGAGAAGCAAGAGGTCTGATGATTCCAACTTTCAGTTGACTAAGGACCGTAACTCTTGGGCTTTCTTGAAAGCCAACCCTTGCGCAAACATCCCTGCTTTTGCCCTTGGCCTCCTTTCTAATGTCCAAGGGCGTCCGGATCCGGATCCCCCTCATCTCCGACAACCAGGGCAGCATCTTTGCCATGCGACGCGGAAGATGCTTATTGCGGCAGTCCTGATGCAGCTAGTTACTAGTTTTTTTCCGTTCGCCAAGGGGGCTGCCGGTTGGCTCCCTCACACGTGAGAAGAGAGCCCGCCCAAAGTATCCAGGCCGATGAAGATCCACAAGTTAATGCGCTGGGTTTTGCAACCCTATTCTTAACCGCAATCAATCCCTTTAGGCACGCTAAGTGTGACAGGCGCCCCTGAAATCGCACTGATCGGGCATGGGGACTGATAGCGAGCTTTCCTCCAGCAGGGACAGGCGCCTGTGGCCTGGAAATCGCCTCAGGCATGGTGCTATGTGCTCCTTCTGGCAGAGCCACACTCCAGCTCATCAGCTGGACCGGGTGTGCGGGGGGCCAGACCGGCCGGGTGTGGCTCGCTGGGTGAGAGTATCTGCCTGCCACACCCGCGGTCACGATTTTCAAGGATTTTTACATCGAACTTGAACGGGGGTCAGAGGACCCAAGCATCAAACCAAACTTTAAAGAGAACAGGTTCTGCAGATCCTTCGAGGCGCTTGGAAGGGATATGTTTGCTTTTGAGTGCATTATTTTAAAAAATATGTTCTTGTAAACTGGAGAGCCATGTGAAAGCTGTAAAGGATAGGCGTTGCAATAGACTAACAAGATTAGCATAGCCGTGGTAGCTTGAGATGTGGGACCTCAGTGAGGCTGGAAGGACCTCATTTGTTCCAGCTTGGGGCTGCTCTAGAAAGTCTATCGCTTGATGGTGTGGGCCAGGAACCAATTTGCTCCAGACACACAACTGATTGGCCTGCACTGCTGCTTTTGTAGTGTCACTTGTGTGTCTCTGTTCCCTTTTGTGACCAATAGGCCGAGGTAGGGCAAGTACTTGTAGTAGGAAGTACAGTAGTTGTCGCAAACTTGGAAACTATTTATACATTAGAAAACATCACAGTAGACTGCAGAGCTATGTGTCTTCAAGGAAGCTGGGCAAAGGTGAGGTAAACATTTCCCAGAATGGTTGCTGGACAAAATGGTTCCTTTGTGTCGCGTTTGGGTTCCTATAGGCAAATTGAGTTTTTGACGCGCGGCATGCAGATAAGGTGTGATCCCAACTGACACGCAGCACGCTTTCGTCACTGCCATTAGCAGCAAAACCGGAACGCAGAGGATCTATGATATCAAGGCGCGTTGCAGTGCAGAACATAGTTCTGTCACGTTATGTGTGGTCAGGGCAAAGACAAGTTGGTGAGTAAAGTTTATCTTCTGAGGCTTCTATTTTAAACATTCATTTACCGTGCATTGATGGATATGCGCACAAAAGGGTGTTGTTGCTTTCGCCGGCTTTGGTGGACAAGGAAAACAACCAACGGCTACCCAAGACCAAAATCAAAATGATGGTGCATGGCCCCCTATAGTGGAAAAACTTGGTTGGCACAGGTACCCACAACGGCGTCTTGTGCTGCTTGCACGTTGCCGAGTTGTCTCATATATGGCTGTGAGCCAAAACCCGGCGCCCCAAACCAGGGTAGGTTGACCTCCTAGGTAGTCCATTCTGTTCATTTTTGGTGGTCAACATTGGTCAACCCAGGGGCTCAACGTCAACAAACGCCTTACACCTTCTTCAAGTTTGTCCACCAGTCCGTCACCCCTTGGAGGGGATGATGTCATTTTTCAGGAAATCGTTGGACAAGGAGCCGGTGGTGGCTCAATTCCATCGGATTGTGTGTATGGCGCTGGAGAATACGAGCAACGGGTGTGCTTGTGCAAGACAGCGGTGCAGCAAATAACAGTAACGCAAAGGTCTAATTATCTAATTGCACGCCCCTCCAACTCTGCGGTCGTTTTAACATGTGCATGCTGCATGCTGCAGTAGGCGGTTTGCGCGCATGGTTCAGGAAACGTGTTGCGATTTTTGGTTTGGTTCTCCAGCAAAACTTAGCGCCTTATTTACGGTACAGGAGCATATACATAGGCGCATTTTTGACAAGAAAATTAAGAACTCTCATTTTGAGCTTGTGGACAGGGTGTGGCGACCGACCAGCGGAAACCCTTGAGCCTCCTGTGTCCTTTGCAACACGAATTGTGTGACATATTTGATTAAGGCTTATTGGGTTTTGTTTTGCAACATTAGACACATACCCTTGTTATTCTTCACGAGTTGATTTGAGGCTCAGATTTGTCCATGGCGTCCCACTATTGCGACATGACAGCCATCCCTCGACGTTGGCCTGAGCCCAATCATGTGCGTCTAGAATCTAAGCTGTTCTTTTTAGCTGCTTGCTTTGACATTTTTTTGATTCATGCTCTTTGTCCACATGGAGCTTTTTAAGGTTCCAGGCAATGAAATCTTGTCTTCCAGGAGGGAGGGGCTGGGACTGTAGTGCAGGGCAATGTGTACGTGTACATTTAGGCCTACTTTCACCGTGAAAAGCACCAAGAATGCATCAATGAACCACTCCTGGATCGTGTCGCGTGCAAATCCTGTGCTGCCGAACACGGTTATACATCAGCAAAGGTTGCATTAGTTACCTGAGTTCTATCTTCTGTCGTCGTCGTCGTCAGTCCTACTCCTAGTCCTAGTCCTAGTCCTAGTCCTAGTCTTAGTAGTAGTAGTAGTAGTAGTAGTAGTAGTAGTTGTTGTTGTGGTGGTCGTGGTCGCGGTCGTGGTCGTGGTCGTGGTGGTGGTCGTGGTGGTGGTGGTGGTGGTGGTGGTCGTGGTGGTGGTGGTGGTCGTGGTGGTGGTGGTGGTGGTGGTGGTCGTGGTCGTGGTCGTGGTGGTAGCAGTAGTAGTAGAAGAAGTTGTCGTAGTCGTAGTCGCAGTCGCAGTTGTCGTAGTAGTAGTAGTAGTAGTAGTAGTACCTTGAAATCCAAAGTGGTGGAAAAACTGCGCACCGCAGATAGTGGCGTATATTTGCAAAACCTATCACAGTGGTAACTTTTTGGAAAGTGCATCCTGCTGCCAACCTTTGGGTCTGTTCGGCGCTAAGCTAGCATGCTTTGACCGATGTCCTTAGCGCTGCGTGCGCACCAGAAGGGTTATAAGTCCAGTAGCCTAAGAAACCCAACGCATATACTCTGCCTACCATATAAGGTTTTTGTTGTATGCTAGCTATAACTTACTTACCCTAGAAGAAGTTATTTATAACTTAGTTATAACTTTAAGTTATAACTAAGGTATATCGTATTTATAAGTTCCAGAAGTCGTTTATAACTTACATATATATAACAAGGGACTATATAACTACCATATTTTTAGAAAACAAAGCGCGTTTTTTTCCGCGCGCGAACACAGATATTTCTGCAGAATGCTCTACCGCGTCTCCGCTTCAGTGAATACACTCGAATGTCTGTTCAGTCTGTCGCCACCAGCTCACCGGTACCCATCGACACGGACGGTCTAACCGGTGCCACGTCACCTCATCAGTCAAACGCCACGTCGAGCCCCACTTCGTCGTGGGGCTCGAGAGACGCAGGCGTCGGACGCGGACGTGCCGGCATAAGTCACAAACACCACCGTCTACCATTGACGTTGGTTGACGACAACGGCAAAGGGCCTACCGATAGACGGGCCCCGCGGACCCCGCGAACCCTGTGAACTCCGTGCCCCGCGCACAGCTGCAAAGCTGCGCAGTTGACTGGGAACGGTGAATTTGCTATTAGCGCCATCAAGTGAACTTTGAGGCGCCTCCAACTTTTGGGCAAAAGTTTTGGCGGCAAAAGCACTTCGCTTAGCCCACGTTGACCAATTGGCAGTTGCTGAATTCCAGAGCAACATCTATGATCCTGTCTCAGTGCTGAAAGAACGTACCTCGGGGTCACCAAAAACCTACGAAACCACATGTTATTGCTGGTCGTCCGACTTTCATCGGGCTTCGGAGACGGTTGATGCAACGGCGCCGGGGGGGTTGGCGTTTTCTTTTTGTTGATAGCGGCTGAGGCTGTATATATTTTTTAAAGGTGCCTGGTGTTTCGGCAATTTTTTCTATCGTTTAGCGTGTCACAGGACCCTACACATTCATATTGCGTGCCTCAGCGGCTGTGTTGCTCACTCAGGGTTGAGTGCTGACCAAGAATATTGGAACATGTGCTGAAAGTTTCTCACATGTTTTTGTTGTTCTATTTTTGAAGATATACTTCAGTTATTGAGTTGTTGAATTTTGAATTGTGTGGAGTTTGCGAGGCCGCGCGTGGTGCTTGAACACAAGGCCCACTTGAAGATCTGGAAACGACGGGAGGTTGGCATCCGAATCCCAAACAATTCCATTGCAGTGGGCTGAGGAATGCGCTGTCACGACAAACAGGTGAAAGACAAATCGCAGTCTCTGACATGGTTGGGGGGGTTGAACGCAACAAGGTTTCACAGATGGTTGAAGATTTGGCAGAGCCTTTGCTCGCTTCGTCAGCGCCTGCAAATGCATTTGTGTGACGCTTGATTACGGCTTTGACACAGTGTGCGTGAAGCGACAGATCTATTTACCGCGCCCAGGAGATCTGGGAGCAGGACAGGTCAAAACTAGACTTTGTGGTAGCAGCGTCCTCAGCCTTAGCCTGCGTCGCCAACCAATGTTCCTTGCCTAATTTTGCTTGGCAAAAAATCAAAGGCTGACGTGGAAGGTTTTGCTAGGCAGAGACATGGCTGATGGGCCTGTAACGTTTTTCAAGGAAAGTTCGGAAAGCTGCAATTAGGTAGAATCCTGAGGCCGTCCTGCCTGAAGAATCCCGCCGTTCGCCTTTTCAAGCTGAGGGCGTGGAAGCGCTTGATGCTCCGAACGACCTTGACAGAGTTTCAACTGTCCGGGGCCCCAAGGTATTTTCTATAGAAAACATTTTCAATAGGCAAAACAGAACAATGCACATTTGTTGATCAAGCAATGGCAACATTTGGCATTTGGCCACAAACGTGCGACTCTTGCAAGTTAACAAGTACAGTACAGATGGCGTGTGTTTGTTAGACACTGTTGTTTTAAACGGTGTGAACCTTCTAGCGCGGCACTGCATCAGTGTAGCCCATGTCAGCAAATATGCATTACAATGCCGCAACAAGTTTCTTCAGGGGGCCATGTCAGCTCATCGGCGTGGCAGCGCCTTAGTGTGTCAGAAATACAACGTGTTAGCAGGTTGGCCAAGACTGCGCGGTAGCCTGACGGCGTGTCAAAACCCCAGCGTGACAACACGCCGTGTCAGCCAGCGCTATGCCGTGACAACATTGTATGGCCCCTACTGTAGACCTCCTCCCTCGACATACCTGGGAGTACTAAACTTACCATTTTCCACAATGCAATCGGCGTGTTGAAAAGTTACAAAAAAGACTGACATAGACCCCCAAACTTCATGTTGAATGGGCATACCACATTAAATAACTGTAGAATGCTGATTTCAGCAATGAACGAGACAGCAATTCTTAGGGGCGATATAGAGTAGGCAAACACCAGTCAGACCGCCCATAGAAGCTGCTTTCCTGATTCTCAATGCTTGTGTAAAACTGACATAATTTAGGTCCAGGGGCCATTCCACTATCATAGCTGCACCTCCCATATTTGCAAAGCGCTCCGGAACTTGTGGGAAGCTGCTCCTGCTCGCGAACTTGCTCCGGAAGCTGCTCCGGAACTTGCTTCGACACCTGCTCCACAACTTGCTCTGGTACCTGCTCCGGAACTTGCTATGGGCCTTCTAATCGGAAATGGTGCTTCACGCGTGGCCAAGGTCTTGGATCTGACTATGGAGGAGCCAGTGCTCCGAAGACAGGCGTGGCCAGAATTGATACCAGTACTTCCACACTCGATCGCAGCTTGCATGTCCCAGGGTGCTGGAGATGTCTCCATATTTGAAGATGTCATTGAGGCAACAGTTTTCCAGTCATAGTCCGGACAGAACATCAGCCGCAGCGAGATTGGATTGACTGGCGCATCCATCATGTTCAAAAGAGAACTGTCTGCTGCTGCTTCTTGTGTTGACATATTTGTGCTGCGCGAAGGGGCTTTGCAGATTTAGCGCGGGTGAGTTTACCTTACGTAGCAGATAGCATTTAGAACTTGCATGCGCATTGTGTGGATCTTTGCGTTTGTCCGCAAATCTTGTGATGTCGAACTCTCTCCGTGTATGTGAATGCATGCCGTTCAGGACGGGCTTGTTGCACTGGTAGAAACTAAGGCAGACCGAACCTACTAAATCACCTTTTCAGATTATTTTGTGTTTGCACTTCTTTTTTCAAAGAGCTAATATGTGATGGTTGCCTTGCAAGAGGTGAGTGACTCTAAGGGGTCGCTTCAGCCAATGAGAGTTTGCTTTTCAATTATGAAGTGACGTCTCACTTGTAAAGCATCGGCCCTGCCCAGATTGTTCGATGAATTTGCTGTTGGTATTTGCCTTCAAACATGTTTGTTTGTGGTGGCATTGGTCCGACATTTTTTTTGTGCTCAGCCACAGGACTTTTCTATTCTTTAGATCATGATTGTTCTTCTCTCCCCACTTCTCTTCTTCCCACTCCATCTCTCCATTGGTGCCCTGGCCAATCTATTCCAAATCTTATATATATATACAATTACACTCTATGTAGGGGGCTACCATAATAATATAATATATATGATACCCCCCCAAATGTCTACCTCTTTTGGTTTTGATTGGTATTTACAGTGTTTTATGCATATTTTTGGGTATAAAAAATCTAACAAAAACAAAGCACTTCCCAATTCAAAAGAACGATAACAAATGAAAGGAAACACATACAACACATATCCCCCATTTTGAGTATTTGATGTTTGGTTTTACCATTGCAGACGTTTGCGTTCAACAAGTTTATGAATGCTCCTTCCACACTGTACTCAGCACAAAATTCAGAATCTTGAATCTTAAGTCTTGAATCTTAAATCTTGAATCTTGAATCCCCTCTCGTTTGCAAACGTTTGCAAACGCTATTTCTGGATTTTGTGCTGAGTACAGTGTGGAAGGAGCATTCATAAGCTTCCTGAACGCAAACGTCTGCAATGGTAAAACCAAACATCAAATACTCAAAAATAAGCACATGTATTTTTTGTTTTTGGCAGTGTTCTGGTACATAGCGTTTTTTGGTTTTTGGATTTCAACACCAAAAAAACACATACAATGAAAACAAAAACACGCTCTTTTGAGGCTGAACCAAAAACTATCCTCAAAGTTTTTGTTTTTGCTTTGCCAGTGTTTTGGTCCTTTTGGCGTTTGTGAAACCTGTATAAATTTTTTGGAAGTTGATTTAGATTTGAATTGTAATATAATCAAATGTTCATTCTGAAGTACAGCTTCTATTTCCAATGGACTTCAAATTTAGATCTAATTCAATTCTATTTTAAGTGTTATGCAAGTTTAGCGTATAGTTTTAAACCCAAATTGAACTTCATGCTAAGAATAAACAGCTTAATTATGATTAATTCTATTGAACTCTAATTAATTCTTTTAGTCTAATTTAAATCTTAAATTCATGAACCTGATTGAATTCAAATTTGAATCTAATTGATTTAGCAGTTAAATTTAATTTCACTCTCCAATTTGATTTTAATTCATTCTGACTGAATTTGAATTCAATTCTAATCTAGTTCTATTGCAAATGTCATTTTAACTTTAATTCTCATTCAAGTCTAATTCTAGTTCATTATTGCAGTAAGTGAATTCTAATCGATCTGCAGGTTAAGCAATTCTATGTCAATTCTACTTGTATCCTAATTCTAACCCAATTCTGTTTGAAACAATGAACCTTAGATTAAATCTTAGTTTAACAAAAATAGTTAGTCCTCATCTAGATTATGTTAATTCAAATTTAGTTTTGTTTACATTTCACTTTTTTGTAATTAATTTTTGGTTTCACCTAGTTTAAATCTTACACAATTCAATTTTTTTTGAGTTGTTTACAACTCTAGTTTAATTCTATTTTGCTTTCCAATTTAGTTTTGATTCGTTCTAATCTAATTTTAATTCGATTCTAGTTCAATGCCAATTTATTTCTAATTCAAAACAAATTGAATTCTCATTTAATTCTGACTTTATTCTAGAGAGAGGGCTTTGCTGGGGATGTGATTTTAAGAAGACAACCTTTAAGAAAGCAACGCATAAGTTATATACAAAGCGTTCGTTTTAAAAGCAAGACGCACTCTCTAGAAGCAACTTAGAACTGCATAAAGCACATAACTAGATTAGAACAAATAGAATTATATTAGATTTAAACATAAACTGCATAGAAATTAAATTGAAAAGAAGTAAACATTAACTAGAACTAAATTTGCATTGAATTCCAAGTAAAATATACTATGTGGAAGTTACTCAACATTAAAATTGAATTGAATGATAATTGATATAGAATTAGCATTTAATTACAGTAGGTCTAAATAGATTTGAATTTGGTTTCAATCAGAATTGATTTAGAATTAGGTCATTCAGGATGTGAGTTATGTGTTGCTTTCTTAAAGGTTGTTTTCTTAAAATCACACCCCCAGCAAAACCCCCTTTCTAGAATAAAGTCACAATAAAATGAGAATTCAATTTGTATTGAGCTAGTATAGAATTAACTATATAAAAAGGTAAACATTTGGGGGGGTAGTATATATATATATACAATATACAATACATCTCATTTAATATACATGTATCAGCAGTACTTTGAAGGGGTCGATTGTCAGCGGGAGATAGTTTTCGCTTTGTCTACCTTCTTTGTTTGCCCGATAAGGGGATCTTGATCACTAGGCGTTTGTTGACATGTCACCTTCCTCATGACTCGGGAGGAGCATTTAAAGGGTCTTGGAAGAGCGCCGTCCCAGGTAATCGTCCAAATCAAAACAGGCGTTTTCCATAGAGACGCACACTGTGGCTTTACATGTCTGCATCACAAAGCACGAAAAGAATACCCTCAACTACTAGGGCCTGGAATGGGTGACCCCTTCTGGAGGTAAGGCCTAGGGGATACGATGCAAGTTTGGGGTCTAAACCGCAACCACCGAGGGTCCCAGCATCTATTTGATGAGAGTATCCAAAAGCTGGACAATCAGCATACAGCCGCGGAGCTAAAACTATCAGTTTTGGAGAAAGGACGCCATCGAACCAATCCTTTTTGTCGCATGGTTAAGGAATACATCACACAGACTTTGCAGGCGATTGTTTGCTGGCTTCAGTTGCTTCAACAGGTTTCTTGAATTCGTTGCTGCATAGGGGGTATATATGTAGTATACGAGGGGTTGAACGGTGTATCGAGCAGTTGTCACTGGAAGGCTCAGGCTAGTCCTCTGAAAGAAAGCAAAGCTGGACGACCATTTCTACTTCTCCATTTTCTCTTTTTTCATCTTCTTTGCTGGTTTCTTCCCTTTTTCGCAGGACTGCTTCACACAGCAACTTGGCTGCAGTGGCCAGAGAAGTCCCAATTCGACTTTGTTTGACGCTTGGCTTCCCGATTCCCCTGCCTCTCCTCTTGACTCCTGGTTTTATCTGGTCTTGTCCGAAGGGGAAGATTGGGAAGCAGAAGGTGTGATTGTGGGTTTGTGTTGCCCCTCAACAGGCAGATGTGTTCTGCTTGGAAACATGGCTCTGGGCAATCTATATATAACATGGCTCTGGGCAATCTATATATATATATACACACATATATATATAATATATGCAATATTACATATATATTTATATAAACAAAAAGATAAATAAATATACTGTATCACAAAGCCAGCCGATAGGCTAGGCTGGAGTTGGGCTGGGCGAGTGAAGTGAGTGGTGGGGTCACATTGGAGGGCGAACCCAGAGCCTGGTGGGGGAGAGCGAAGAAAAGTATTTGCAGTTTGGGATTGGTTTGCGGGGTGTTGTGATGCTGGTGATGTAATTGACGACCATGAGTGCATCATTAGCATCAGGAGGGGCTCCGGAGGTAATCTAAACCGTCTTCTACCAGGGTGGGAGAAAGGGAAGTGCGTCTCTGCCCGTGGCTTTCGTCCCCTCCCTTCTCAGGTATATATATATACATATATCGTCTGAACGCTTCAGGCTTGTCAGGCGAGCAATGAGCGATTGTGACAGCGAAGACTCCAGGACATCTGAAGATGGAAAGCATCATGCCAGCAATGTGCATGCGCGTCCCAGAGTTCAAGGCTGTGAAGGAGCAGGCTAGAAGCGCAGCTGCCTATGTGGTGCAACGCCATTACTCAGAGGATGGCGTTGGGCCCAAAGCTGCCCACAGAACTCAAGCAGAAAAAAAGCGACAAGGACTGGTCAGTGTCTTCTCTGGGGTATGGCATCATTGATTCAGGGCGCAGTTGAACTCTGATCAGGCAGCAGACGCGTGAAGACTGTGCCACAAAAAAAGTCGGCTGTTCACCGCAACAGATTAATGGGACGGCAGGAAGAGTTGTCCATGCGGTGCTCATCCATGGCAGAAGTCGCGTTGAGGCATTGATGCAGCTGTGATCAAGGGGAAGGCTCGCTTGTTGCTATCTCTCTCCAGGGACTCCAGGGACTCTACAGAATCTCGGCTGGACAGTTTGCGGAGAACGTGAGTGTGAAGCAAAGACAGAGATGCTGCCGATTGAAGGAGCTTCGGTCAAACACGGATGAGCGTGACAACGTTGAGCAGATTGCGCGGGTGACAGTCAACGCATTGAGCGTTGTGCAGTGGATGGTCGTGACGTTCACCAGTGTGCGGTTGGGTGTGTTGTGCAGTCAAGTCGGGGCATGGAGCATTGTGCAGTTGGTGGTCGTGACATTGACATCGAGCAGGGCAGTTGCTTGTCGTGACACTGAGCATTGTACAGGTGAGCCTTGCATCAATTAGTTTGCCCGAGCCAGAAGAGCGCAACGTTTTTCTGGTCGCTCATAGTGAAGCCTGGACAAAAGGAAAGAAGAACAAGCGCGCTGTGGCTGAACTTTTCTCACCGTTTCGTTTCACAGTGGGTTGGCCGAAGCTCAGTCAGGCAGAAGCTGTCGTCGCCAATTTGAAAGAGATGGCGTTCGTGTGTTGTCTAGCGCGGCAGAGGGCCCATTCTGAGTTTATATAGAGAAGGTCGAGAAAAATGACAATTTTTTCGATTTTTTTTCTGCTGAAGGTGATGGATCAGGCGCAACCCAACGATTGACAGGAGTAGGAGCAGTGCAGCGCGACGTTCAAACCACAAACGCCAAGAATGAATTGCTAAATCAACAAAGATGGTTTCCATCTCAACTCGTTTTCGGACGAATCTCGTGGGTATCGTACCAGGTGACTTGCTTCAAGAACGGCCTTGCCCCGTGCCTGGGGCTATTTGACTGATGACGTTGCGGGATCTCAAATGGTTCGTACTCATGCTCGATCGGCTGTGATCATGTCTCAAGACGGCAAGACTCTCCGCGCAGCCCTCAACGCAAGATCCAGGGTGGAAAGTTTTGCGCCAGGCGATTTTGTAGCGTATTTGAAGAACATCGAGGTATGAAAGGGAATCTGAATCCATCTTGTCGGATAGGTCGGAATTTCCTAGCGGTCCTATGCGTGCCATAGAGAGAGTGTGGTCAAGGTGGCTCCAGATGTGAGAAGAATGTGTATTGGCACAGATGGACGGTTGGGAACTGCTCGGATCATCGCGCAGAATTCGTGGAGTTTTCTTGGGGCAATACGTTCGAGCTCGACAGGGTGATTTGCTTAGGAGAATCAACCAAAACCAAACCATCATATGCCCAATCAAAAAGGATCCAACGTTGGCGGGGTTGTCCTTAGAGAATTGGCCTTGCGCATTTGAGCATATGCGAAGGAAGCGTAGTAGCGCGTCAGATTTGGGGCAATCGACCAAGTCCAGCAATCCTGATTGTGAAGAAGAGTTTGTTCCTAGCCAAAGGCCAGTGCAAAAGAGAAGAATAAGGATAGACCGACCCCTCTTAAACCACACAGTATCCAACGGAGGCCGACAGCAAATCATGCTGCAGTTCCCTTTTCAACCTCAGCAGGATATGGTCCCGCGCGTTGACGACAACCCCGACCACCAGAAACCAAACGCGAAGACCTAATGGAGGCATGGAGAAAGGTCGCGGAACAAAAATTATCGCCAGATGGACAAGTCCGTGCTCCTAGCAAATGCTCGCGGACTGAAGGAGACGAAGGCGCTGTGGCGCAAGGAGTTGCGTCGTCCCACGAAGCTTCCTTCAGTATCAAAAGTCACAGAATGGGCTTGGAGATGAAAATCATGCCACGTCCGGATCGAATCATGACTAGCAGGTTCGTGACCAAGATCAAGTCGTCACGTTGGTGTTGCGAGGTCGTCGCGACCCAGACCTATCAAAGCCAGCCATATAGCAAGTGTCGGTGAGACACTCTCTCAATTCGGTCCCAGTTATCTTGCAGATGATTGCGAGTCATGGCTAGTGAACGCATGTAGGTGATATCAAAGGAGCATTTCGCGAAGCCGATGTGAGGGACAAAGGCCCACAGACAACCTGGTTGGTGCATGCTGAGCTTCCATGAGGAGGGGTGCCAGGCGCGGTTTTGTGAAAAACGTTTACGAGTGTTTGACCTTGCGCAGCCCACGCAACAGAAAGTCAGCCCACCGCGTGGCGCGCTGATGAAAAGAAGTTGCAAAGTGCCCGCCAAACGTCGGTTTCAATGTGTGTTTCCGCATGGCGCGTCGAAGATACAGCGCCCGTGTCTTATGTGGGAGCACGCGCCCAAAAATTCTACGTCGAGCTTGTGTTTAGTGGTCAACAAGTGGCAGTGGGAGACCCCATATTTAGATTTCATTGTGTGCTTCCACGTGGCGCAGAAAATGCAGCGCGTATGTCTCATGTTGGAATAATACCTTTTAAGAAACCTGCCGTTAGCCTTCGGGCGCCGTGCGCAAGCGTGCGTGTGTGTCACTCACCAAATGCCTATATACTTTGCTTCAATAAGGCTGAAGCATGCGAGCCTCATGTGGGTGTACCTACTCTACAACCCACCTTTGGCTTGCTCTGGGCCTGAAGGTGGATATGAGGGGCCCATCAAAGCTCGGCTTCAGCTCCCACGCCACACTGAACAAGCAACGCGTGCAGCGTACGTTTTGGAGCAAGTGGCGCAAGAGCGGAAGTGTGGGGCCATCACTTCGGCAAGTATGGCGGCAGCAAAAAAACTCTTTTGCTGGCTGGGCTGTCTGGGTTTGCGCGTAACAAGCCGACCGAGACTCGTTTGTGTAAGAGACTGAGACTGTAAGGGGTATTGACCACGCTTGCTCACATCTTCCTACCTACCCCTTCCTCCTTGTAACGGCGCGCAGAATTCACCTGGGAGCGTCAGAAGCTGGTCAGAAACGGAAGAGGAACAGATCAGAAGTACGCTTGCACCCTTCCAAAGGATCAAGGTCAACAAGGAGAGACGCAGAAAACCTTGGTTGACAGAAGCCATCCAAGAAGTGGCTGCGCTGCGATCCGAGGAGCGAGCGGGGCCCTGAGCTAGTTGAGCGCGCAGTCAAGACCAGATTTTGGCAGCGCAAACCTCACTTAGTCAACAACGCTTTCCTCAACCAACACCTCCTGCACGCGATTGCGCGCCAAGCGCGGCAACAATCTGACCTCAGAATCCGTGTGCCTTACATGGAGCCCACAGAACTTAGCCATGGAGCCGAAAGGACTTACCTCTTGTTTTTGGTCTGAGGCTGCTCCTGCAAACACAGATGAATTGAAAACCCAGGGAGGTTAATTGGTTAGCCAGCTTCACCGTGATCGTGCGAGGCAGGGTGCAGATGTGCCGGCGCTGTTTTGCTTGGAAGTCACGCCGGCTTGAGCTTGTTCCACAGCTTCTCGAATGTGTGAATAGGACGCCTCAACGCTTGCAGAATGTTTAGTAGTTTAGACGATCGCTTTTCCTTGAAGATTGAAGATGCTGAATCAATGCTTATAAGAAGGCCAATTAATTGGAATTGGTAGATCTCTGTTTGACCGTATGAATTCTCTAGGTTCTGGGGGACTGCTAGAACAACCGACATAGCGCAATCATCAGACTATCGATCCGTCGCGCAGGCCCCAACAGCTCACATGTTGGCTGACGGCTTGACAAAAAAGACCGGGCAGCGCCAATGGACTTGTTGTGATCGGATCTGCGCGCTGCCAAATATCAATCGGAAAAGAGAAGAACGAGAACGCCGAAGACCAGAAGAGCCCGGCGCAGAAACCGGGGCAATGAACTCGTTTTTGTTTTCTTTGGGCCTTTCACTTCGAGTTGCAGAAGGTCTGTTGTGTGAGAGCGGGTATAGGCTAGGGATATTGTTTGTCGGGCAATCGTCAGAAAGTGTCTTTCCTTTGCGCGCTTCAGAAAAGAGTGAAGGGCGCAAGAAAGTGGTCCTTCCGGCTGGCATTCCAAACCTGACTAATTGCAGGGCTGGTGGCCAAGAACGAATACACATCTACTTGGTGTGGGTTCAGTCGCACGGACTTGGAAAAGATGGCCGAGTCGATGACTTTGCTGCGTATTTGGAAGCTATTGATTTTACCGTAGATGCCGGCGCCAGTTTTCCAAAAAGCACCGAGCGCCGTGAGAAACGGTGAGGACAGAGGCTGAAGAAGACCTACTGAGCACTGCTCATTCCCAATTACAGTTCCAAAGAGGGTTCCGAGGACAATCTTTTGGGGAGCAGTGCCTTGTCCACAGCCACGCTCCCTGAAAAGGGCGTCAGCAGGTTGGTAGGAACCCTTAGAAGGCATCACTTGGCCCGTGTTTCTAAACACATATAGAAATTATCCTGTCCAAGCTCTTCACAAGCTTTTCCATTCTGTGAGTTTTGTGGCGTGCTCTGATATCTTTTGAGCCTGGGGTGCAAAGCTCCAGATATAAGTTTGAATCTTCGAAACATCGAAAGTGGACAACTTAAGCCTAGAGAAACCAAAGTGGGTGCTGAAGGACACCATGAAATTGGAATCATTTTTGGTTGTGGCGCTGACTTAGGCTTGAGTGGTAACGGAGCCGATGGCTTCTAGAAAATCATGGCAGGCGATGCTTCCCTTCTCGTTCCTTTCTTCCTCCTTTCACACTTCCAGCGGATTGTGCGCTTGGGATCGTTCTTGATCAGGTTGCCCTAGCATTCCTCGCAGTATTGGCAGCGTGGAACTGGAGTGAGGACGTTTCATTTTTTGCTGCTTCCATTCGTGTGAAAATGTAACTGGTCTTGGCCACAGGCATTTGTGCAAAGTCCACCACGTCCTGCAGGCTTTGAATCTTGAACAAAAAGACTTGTCTCACCATGCATCAAAGTTGTGTCAAGGCAGTGTCATCGTCGAAAAATTACCAAGAGGCTTGGTTCTTTTTAAACCACTGATTCTTGCATTGCGAAAACGCGCCGTTGTGCCCTCAGGCCTGACGTGCCGCAGGGGTCTAGCCCAAATCATTCCTGACAGGTATGCAAGGAATAGTCCGGAGTATGAGCCTTGGATCAATGGATCAATTGTTCCTCACAGGATAACAGACCCAAAGGACAGTGTTGTAACAACAGAGATGTCTCCAATTTTGGGCGGGGGCATTTCCTTGGTTGCCAGGCTGCAGCGCAGTCTCGGTTCATACGGACAAACTGACAAACCCCATTCTCATCCGTGACCAGAGTTTGTGCAGTTTTTTTCTCATCACAACAAAGACACATTCTGGGATTCTTGTCATACAATTTTTTGGTGAATACGATAGAATGTTGCGTTTTGTTCTTTATATGCAATATATTTTGTAAGTATAATAGGCGTCCACACAGTGTAGTGTATATATATATACACATTATATAGATGGTACCCCGGCCTGGTACCTAGGATTTTACGAAATGGGAGCACCTTTCACAACGGTGAAGGTATCAAATATGTATGCGCATCACTGATCCACCAAAACCAAAACACACTAGACGACAGGGTGGCCCGACAGCAATTTTCAGTCCTTTTCTAAACCACCAACCCGAAATGCTGATCAAACGTCGGTTTCTTCTTGGTACCACCTGCGTAACACACAAAAGATGAGTACAGGTGACCCAAAACGAAATAGACGCAGCATAAAACTGAAGGTATGTGCAACATCAAAACAACACATTAAAAACGTGTGTATATATATATATATATATGTGTATGTGTGTGTTTCGTTAATGTTTGTTTGTATAGTTCATTTGTTTCAATCAAGGTGCATGTGTTACACTGGTATCGATTTCGCACCTTTGTTTTTGACACTTTCTACAACATGGCTTGTTTGCAATATGTTCCAATCACATTTGCGCAACATTATTTTCATGCATCAAGAAACACCAACAGCTTCGCAATTTAATGTGAACGTTATGGCTCCAACATTTGTTGCATCCCTCTTGTGTATATGTGTGACTACAAACCCAGCCAAATTATTTTGCAAAAATCACGAAAAGCATTGAACCACAAAGATCACAAAAGAACTTAAATGTTTGTCTGAATATCCTATGGCCCATCAAAGAGTTTGCATGCGTTTCGGGAACAACAAGATTGCCTTGAGGCTTTCCGCAGCAACTAAAGAAACGGTCCGAAACGGACTGTTTGCTTACATACATGTGAGGACAGACGATCAACCGAGGGGATGAGTAGGCTCATGATATTCTTTCCAGCCACAGGGAAAGATACCAAAAGAGCACCAGCAGTCCCAAAAAGAGTAACTACAAAAGAGCAACTACAAACTATACCCTGAGAAAAGAGCAACTCCAAGCAAAGCCGCTGAATGAGTGCCATTTCCTTTTTTTTCATCACCAGAAGTTACAGACTGGCTCTCTGACCAGTTGGCCAGTGGTGTCTTTGTGAACTCTTTTGTGTGCTCACATGTGTCCGCCATCCTGTGAAAGCTCAGCAGCAGAATCTCAGCAGAAGTAGAAATCAAAAACAAAGTTCGTTGAGCTGAATTGTAGTGATGTTATCAGAGATGTTATTTGTTGATTCCCCCCCCCGACCCTATTAAATTCCTAGGTCCTAGTCCTAGGTTGTGTCTCACATGTGGCCACCTTTTGGAAAACACTACAAAGTGAAAGTAGAATCTAAAGATCCAAAGTAAGTCAAGCGTATTCAAACGTTACTTGCACAGCAGACTATGTGTACAGCTCTAGGGTCCTTTGGATCCTAAGGGTCGCACTTTGGGTGTGTGTGTGTGGGTTGTAGCCTGATTTCAGGACTACACTGTAGCTGTGCAGGGAGAGTCCAGAATAGTGTTCCCTGGAACACCATACTGGTAGACGTCTCACAAAAAGAGCAACTACAGGCTCCCCAGCACCAGTCCCCAAGAGAGCAACTACAAAAGAGCAACTACATTCGCCAAACCGCCCAAAAAAAAGAGCGCGGAAAGAGTGACGACAAAGAGCAATTACAAAACCATGTCCATGTCAATGTTGTGTTGTTGTTTACCTTTTTTCCTGTTCTGTTGCATTTCACTTGCCAGTAAGATAAAAGCACACAAGGGCCAAAATACATGGATAGGCCAGCGAGCTTTCCAAGAATGCACGATGCATTGTGATATCTATATATATACATATTTGTTGAAATGTAGCACTTGTGACATGAGTGCATGAATGACAGTCAAGACACTCCATGTTAAACACATGAAGAGTTCACTGAACACGCCTTACACAAGGACGCGACCTCTCAACAGTGAAAAGAGAGCTTCGTGTTAGATGGTAGCGGAGCTGTGATCCCGATCTCTCAGGACCTCGGCAGGACCCAATCCCACGGTCTCGACGCCGTAGGTTGGCGACAGCAGCTGGTGGAGCCTTTGCAACTGTGCAGCTGAGAGCAGCTTGGTGCAATCGGTGCAAGTGACTACCTCACTGGCAAGGTCACTGGAAGAGCAGCAAGAGCTAGAAGCTCATGGCTGGGGTGGAGCAAGTTGTCACCGAGCTCCATGGATTCACACGAGTCTGTGCCCAGACACTTCAGAAGCTGGGCGAGAAAGAGAAGGAGAAGGACGGCAGCAAAGCTTCTCGCACCTTGGTGAAGCCCGATGGATGGTGGATGAAGAGCAATCCACATGGCCTAAATGGTCTTTCCTCTTCAAGAGCTACTTGGCCTTCATTGAGGAGGGGTTCGTGAACGACCTGGAGCGCGTGGAGAAGGACTTGGAGCAGGACCTCAAACTCACAGAGTACAAGGAGGAAGTTCAGAAGAGAGCAAAGAAGCTGTATGCCTACTTGGTGAGCTTTGTGCGGAGTGTCACAGACACTGATGGCTTTAGAGCATGGCAAGGGCTTTGTCGGGAGCTTCAGCCCAAGACAAGGCAAAGAGAGCTTGGCATCATCCAAGCCGTGGTGGCCTTTCCGCAGTTTGAGAAGGGCAAGATCCTTGGAGGGATCATGAAGTACGAGAAGCTGGTCGGCGAGTGTGAGCGGCTGGCTGGAAGCTCCTTGGACGAGAACTTGAAGAGTCATGCGCTGGCGCTTGCTATGCGCAGGTGAGAGAATCGATGGTGGCCTACGAGCAATTGACGGCTGCCTGGTCAAGCGCCAAGATCCTCGAGCGCAACGAGATTGTGCCAATGGAGGTGGATCGTATCAAGGGCAACCGCAAAAGAAAGGGCAAAGGCAAGAAAGGGTCGCCCAAAGGAAAAGGTGACAAAGGCAAGGGCAAAGGAAAAGGCAAAGGCTCTGCTGGTCAGAAGGGCAACGGCAACGGAAGCGGCAAGAGCCAAGACAAAGGCAAAGGCAAATCCAAGGGTGCTTGCAGAGCAGCTGAATGTTGGCAACATGGTCAACAAGTTCAACAAGTTGCTGTCCACGATTCAGGAGATCATGGAGGAAATGGTGGCGGGCAACCTTCTGGACCCCCCCGCCAGAACTACATCGTCTTCGGCGAGCGCGGCAGAGAAGGATTTGGGAGATCAAGACACCTCCCATGTTGGAGAGCGACTTGGCCGAGGAAGGCGAGATGCACCTTCGTTTGCTGGTGGCATTCAAGAAGTGGCTTTGGACGCAAGAAGAGTTTGTTGAGGTGGACGAGTACCCTTTGGTGGACCTCAAGGACTGGGGCGAGTTTGACCAGGTGAACCTGCAGCAGGAACCTGAAGGAGCAGGAATTTTAGATGTGTCTGGCGAGATGCTGGCGCAGTTGGAGCATGCATGAAGCTGATGAGCGATAAATCTCACGCCCCAAGGAGATGGGAGTCCTCATTCCAAAGAGTGGCAACTTTTGGCGACCAAGAAGGGGTCTATGATTGGCGATGGCGCCTCAAAGAAGAGACTGGCAAGTTTGGCTGGATGAGACTGTCAAGACTGTTGTGCAGAGACTATATATACATGTTTCTTTCGCCTCAAACGAAAATTCTTCACCCCTACGAGGGAGTGAAACTTTGGGCTGCCTTGGTTCAGTCGAGCCAAGGAGAACGTGGACTCTGGGCAGTTGATGTCAAGGAGAAAGTCTATGTGGAATGCAATGGAGAGTTCTTCGAACTCGGACAATGCCTTACCAAGGCATGGTATGACCACTTGGGCAAAGTGGCACACGACCAAGGGCTACAACCATACCCTGCTGACCCAGCAGTCTTCTACGTCGCGCGTTGATGACCTACAGCTGGTTGGAAGTCAACATGACGTTGAGAAACTCCTTGACAGTTTCAGAAACAGGAATGGACACCTCAAGTACAAGGACCCTGCTCACCTAAGGTTGCGCGGCGCATTCCTCAAGAGGCATTTTGCTTCAGTTGGATCTGGTCCCATGACTGTTCGAATGGACCAGAAGTATGTGAAGAAGTTGGCGGACTTGTTGGACCTGCACGCGAACAAAGGCAAGCTGACGCCTACAACTGGAACCTTTCAGAAAAGACTTCAAGGACAACCGCTTTCAAGGGAAGAATCGAGACTCTGCAAGACTTGTGTTGGCGTTTTGCTCTACATGTCAACTAAGAGGCCAGACATCCAATGCGCAGTTCGACAGCTAGCTTCTAAAGTCACAGGACCAGACGCCCTGGACAAGAAGGAGTTGAAGGAGCGAAGTCTTCACGGACAGCGATTGGGCCGCAGACAGAACTTCAAGGAGATCTATGTCACGCAGCCACATGTACCTCAACGGCAGTTTCTTTTGGAGTGCATCTCGAAGCCAAAAGCGCATATGATAGCTTTGTCAAGCTGTCAAGGTGAACTCATTTCAGCAGATTCAGCAGTCAGTGGCATGGCTGATGGAATCTACATCAAAAGGATGTTGGAAGCTGTGCTGAACATGAAGGTGGTCTTGGAGCTGAGGATTGACAGTTCCTCTGCTCGAGCTCTACTACGACGGTAAGGAGCACAAAGTACCCGACGTATAAGTATATAAGCGCTGGACTTCTTGTGGGCGCAACAGAAAGTGGAAGAACGAGAAGCAGCAATTCGACCAGCGCCGGGAAAGTGACTTGGGAACCACGAGTCATAGCAGCAAGAGCAAGAGACTGAGATTCTTGCTGGGCCTCACTGGCTACTTGGAGCACGCTGGACGACCACGAGTTGGAGCCCAAGAAGAAGAAATTCAACGTGTCAAAGGACTTCGACCCGAACGAGTGCAACAACCGACATGTTTGCTTTTGGCGGCTTTGAGTCAGCAGGGCCACGGAATGGAAGCCGGAGAAGATCCGGTGACCCCGAAGGATGGACGTCGTGGACTTTTCCTTGATGGTGGCAATGAGTGTGCAAGGTTGCGACTTGGCGCTGATTGTGCTCAATGCAGCTTCTGTTGGAGCATGGTCTCTCCTGACTGAGATGGGCTACCAGTTACTTCAGACTGGAATGATGATGGTGGCGTTCAATGCGCTGGTCTTCATCCTGTTCTGCCTCAGGGACTACTTCAGCCTACAACCTGTAGAAGGTGGAGGAGAACTTCAACGAAAGAGTTCACCGCCTCAGGATCCTCGTCCTGGTCAAGAACAAGATTCAACATCTTCGGAGAATCTGCCGAGATGGAGAGCTATGGGATGAACCTGATGGAGGAGATGTCAATCACCTACTTCTTGAAGGAGACGCAGGTGATGATCAGGAAGAACCTCTGGTGAGGAGTACTTCCTGGACGTGGATGGACGTCTAGAACGCCATGAAGGACTTGGAGTTTGAGTGAAGAAGAAGAAGAGGAAGAAAAAGAAGAAGCAGAAGAAGAAGCTGAAGCAGACCAACCTGCTGAAGAGCCAGAAGATGATGTCCCAGGAGATGTTCGACGAGTTTCTCAACAACCTGGTGACGAGGTGACAGATGCAGTTGAGAAGTTTGAGGGCAAGCAGGCTTGAGAGACGAGCTGGGAGAACAATGCACCGACCTCGACCTTGAGATCGACGCACCTCAAGTTGGTGAGGAATACTTTGTGGAAAATCCCAACTGGGGAAGAGATGGTGGACAGTGGCTTCATCGCAGGCTTTGCTACGAGCCTGAGCAAGAAGAGGAGATCCCTGAGTCACCAAGGGGATATGGATGGCCTCTTGGGAGCAGAGACTGGATGTGAGAGGAAGGAGAGCCAGAGCACAACTCCAAGCAGAACAACTACAAGCCGAACAACCGCAGGCCGAGCCGCGCTGAGAAGCAATCAGGAGTGTAGCACTTGTGACATGAATGCATGACAGTCAAGACACTCCATGTTAGACACATGAAGAGTTCACTGAACATGCCTTACACAAGGCCGCGACCTCTCAAGAGTGAAAAGAGAGCTTCGTTTTAGATTAAACGAGCCTAGTCCGAGTCCAAGGTATGCTCTTTGTTTTGGGTGAACCTCTTGAACATTGTAAAAACCATGCTTTTTATTCCGGTAGCCTTCAAGAACATTGTCAATCAGATAACCTTTTTCATGTCATCCAACATCCTTCAAAAACACATGCTCTTTCAGCATGCTCTTTTCAGGCTCGTTATATCTATTTTTTTTGAAACAACCTTTGAGGTTCAGGTAATATCGCAAGAGTAGGCAACAAACCGATGCATTGCATGCATGGTAAACCAATCACTGTACATGTAAGGGAACCTATTGAGGGCATTGAACACCGATGAACAACGATTCAACAAAGACCAACAGATGACCTAATTCCCTATCACCACAGACAGAGATGATCTTACAATAAAATAAAGAACAAACCGTCAGCAGTTGCAGCAATCTAAACAGAGCGGTTCTGAGGAACCAGCAGAGCCTGCCATCGTGCTGCCTTATGGTTCGCGTGAGCTGAAGGACAGCGACATGTGGCGTTTAGATCGCATGGTTTGAAAAAACCCAAGACTCGCAAAACTGTTCAAATCGCGTGTTTTTGTTCCATCTTGGATCACCCAGGAGTGGAACCCGATTCCTCAATGGAGAGGTGAGAAGACATATCATCCATGCAAGGAATTGCAGGTGCCACTTTAACACTTTCATTTTTCAAGGTCGCAGTTGATTTAAACCTGAAGGACAGCACGATTTGTTCCACAGGATGATAAGCATCGGCAGTGGTACCATTTTGATGCCGAGAAGAAGACCTTAGGGCATCTTGCCAAGGCAGGTCCAAGCTGACGGAGGTGTATTAAATCTATATACAAGAAGTTCCGCTTTTCTTCGTTGCAGTGCCTGAATGCGCATTCAGGTTTGTAGGTGTGAACACCGCTCCTATTTCGCATCATGCAAAGTGCGGAGGCTGTGGCTTTGGTGCTGCAAGGCAAAGAAAGTCCTCTTTACGACCCAACTCGGGACATTTGCGGGGTTGGTCAATCGATGAATTCACAGAGCCATGATTTGATGTGGTTTGTCGCGTGTGTAACATCCGTTGCAAAGGAGGAGTATGCATTTCGTTGTATTTTCCAGCATGACTATTTGCTCGGCGAGCGTTAGGGCGCACTTCACAAAAGTTGTCTCTACGCGAGGCAGATTCACATATACATTGCACACCATTGAGGCCATTGTGCAACGTAAGAAATCATATGATAGTAATGAAGGCCATGTGCATACGTCGCATACCAAGCAAGAAGTGCCTCGCTATTGAGGTGTTTGAATTTCATACAAGTTGTGCTGTACTTGTAGATGAGGCTATATTAGTGAGTCTCCATCCATCCATCCATCCGTCCATCCGTCTGTTTGTCCGTCCATCCATCCATCCATGAAATGGAGCGAATATATTTTTCTTAACTCTGGTGTTAATTCTTTGTCCTGGGGTGCACATCAGCACGTGCCTCAGTAGAATTAACACCCAAGTTAAGTTAATTCGTTTTGTCACCCCTGCTTCTGGAAGAAGCAACTCCAGAGACAATTCTTCATTGTTTCTTTCTGTATCGGACCCCTTCAGGACCCCTTGAAAAAGAATTGAATCGTGAAAAAGGACACAAAAGAAAAGAAAGAGCTAGACAAAGAGAAGGAAGCAAGGAGACACAGTGAAAAAGAATTAACTCAAGAGTTATATAATTCCTTCTTGGTGGCTATAGAACTCAATGCAGATAGAAAAGAAAACGAAAGCAAAAAAATAAACGAAAGAGATAGACACAGAGAAGGAAACAGGAGACACAGCGAAATAGAATCAACTCCAGAGTTAATTCCTTTTTGGTGGCTAGTTTGTCTCACCTTCTTATCTTCCTAATCCCCTGTCACCTGCCTAGAATTCAATACAGCTAAAGGTGAAAAAGAACACAAAAGAAAAGACAGAGCTAGACAGAAAGAGATAGACACAGAGAAGGAAACACGGAGACACAGTGAAAAAGAGCTAACTCCAGATTTAATTCTTTTTTGGTGGCTAGTTTGTCCCACCCTTTTATCTTCCTAATCCCCTGTCACCTGCCTAGAATTCAATACAGCTAAAGGCGAAAGAGAAAATTATATAAAGAAAATCAATAACTAGACAAAGAGAAGGAAGCAAGGAGACACAGTGAAAAAGAATTAACTCAAGAGTTAATTCTTATTGTTGGTGGCTATAGAACCCAATACAGCTAAAAATGAAAGATAACAAAAGAAAAGACAGAGATAGACACCGAGAAGGAAACAAGGAGACACAGTAAAAAAGACTTAACTCCAGAGCTGCTTCTCTATTTGCACAAGTGGCAAAGTTGACAGAATTAACTCCAGAGTTAATTCTTCTAGAGTTACAGGTTGATCAGATGTAAAAGCTAAAGCATTAACACTGAAGTGAATACTTTTTAACTCTTGTATTCAGCCTCTTCCATCCATCCATCCATCCATCCATCCATCCATCCATCCATCAAGGCCACGAGTGCTCAAGGAGGCTGCCCGTGAAGACCTCCTAGTGTGGCACCCCCAGGCGAACATCGTTCGGAGGCTTGGGTTTTTCCTGGTGACTGGTGCTTTGCCCGCAATAGTGAGGGAGACCTTCAAGGACCTCTCTTTCTCCGGGACTTCGGCACCTACCTCATCAATCTCCGGGACATCCACACTGTGATTGGGGCAATATCACAGCGGAGGACCCAGGCCAGTCAAATCTGACCTTCCTTGCCTTCAACCTAAGCCTTCTGGAGACCACTGAGGTCCACCTCATTCGGCACAATGACATCCTCCAAACCGGCTTCATGGTGCAGAAGCTATGTGGTGTGCACCTCCGGCAAATGCACAAGTTGGATTTGGAGTGACAAACTTCGACCGGACACTCGATGCAGACTATGCGGCAACTGGTGGCCATCCAGCAGGGCAGGCATTGGAAAAGGTAAAGGTCAAGGAAGACCCACCACCAAGCCGACACCCTGGCAACCACAAAGGCTTGAAGCGCCACCAGGCTTGGGAAGATTTAAACCCCTCAAGAAGACGAAGATCCAGCGAGAAGCTACTGAGTTGCTGGAAACAGTTTGGAGCGGCATGTCCACTGAACTCCAGGACAAGCTCCAGTTGTTGGGCATTGGACCCGCCAAACCACCAGAACCCGACTTGGCCGAGATGCTGAAGTCCCACATGGAAGCTTTGCCAGTTCAGGTGCAGGAGGCGGTGAGCCGTCTCACGGCTCCGGAGCCTGCATCCGAAAGGGACATTGCCACGAAGCTCAAAGGTCAAGTATCTGACCTCAAGAACCTCTCCATCAAGAAGACACAATTGCAAGAGAGGCTGGATCAAACCAAAGCTCAATACCAACCCCTCTTGACGGTCAACAGAAACTCAACGATGGTCAGAAAGCATTGAAGCAACTCTCCGAGGAGTATATGAAGGCAGTCAACAACGATCCAAAGCCAGACGAGCTGACCACCAACATGGACATCGATCCACTTCCTGCAGCCCTTGAATCCTTTGTAGCCAATTTGGGAGCTTCTCTCTCAGCTGAACAAAAGTCTCAGCTTCACGGTTTGCTGAAACGACCAAACAGCAGCCTTGAGGATCTTCCAAGCGCAGGAAAACAGAAAGCGCCAGCCCAAGTTCACCACCAGGATCGTGCGGGTAACCTTCCATGCACTGGGCAATTCCAGTCCCACTGGATGATTTTGACTGGGGACATGACTTTGATCATGACGTTTTTGCTGTCAGAGCATTGGATGTTTCTATCCACGATGGTTCACAGCTACAGGGATCTTCATGGCTTCAAGGAGTTGCAGGGGACATGCGACCCAATACCTTGAGACCTCACACTTTTCCCACACGGCCATTTGTTGCTGGGGACATGCAACATTCTGATCAATTTCAATGGCAATTTGATCCAAACACTTCTTTTGCTACCAGCCACGCGCACTCGAACCTGGATGATGGTGGACGCACGTGCCGGGCGGTGATTGGAGGCACAGCACCGCAAGAGGAGTGTGACCAAGCGTTGCCAGAGAACGTCAAGATGAATCAAAACGTTCTCTACAATTTTGCAACCACCACAGATCTCCTGATGCAAAATCTGACGATGGTTGTGGGGAATCCAAGCCAACGATGCTTTGCAAACGCCCCGTGGAGGGCCTTCACATGGCTATGTGCCTTTCTGCAAGAAGACAATTTGCAGCCATGGGGCACAATCAGAGATGCAGTTCAAGAAAGTCTAAACCTGTGAACCCGTTGATCTTCACAGCCTTCCTGGACTGCAGACAATCTGGCAGAAGCATGATCTCAATGTCCAAGGCGACGCCAGCCACTTTGTGAACACCCTCTGGTTGGTCACTCAGTCCAGAGCCTTCACATACAGGTACGGCTTCCTCAAGGACCATATACAGATGTCCATACACATTGATCTCCCTGCCAACAGCCAGGAAGAAGTACCTTTCCAGGACCTCATCAATGCCTGGGCGAATGAGAATCTGGGCCAATACTTCATGGACGAGAAGAAAGCATGAGTGTGCCATCTCAAACAAGAAACAGAGGTGGATGGGCTGATCACCAAGCACCACCGCACACTCAACCCACATGGGACTTTCCAAGTACCCACATCCCTCGATGGCTTCTCGAAAAAACAGATGGAGTACGTACCAGTGGCGCTCATATGTCACAAGGGCATAACCATATGTCCGGGCATTACTACGCCATCCACCAATGAAGGCACGCGTGGAGGCATTTTGATCCTCGGCGACATCTCGGAGGGCCTCACCTATGTCGACAGCTATGACATTCAAGGGTGTGGGTATGTGGCAGAAAAGAGAACTACCCCTACTGCTCGTGGCGGTCTACTTCAAACACTCCGACACCTTACAAGGGCAGACAAACAGCCAGATCCTGGCCAAACTTCTTGGACTACTACAAACCACAAGACACCAATTTCTACTTGTTGGAGACTGGAACACTCCGCCAAGCTCCTTTGAAGAAACTGTACTTGGCTCCAAGTTCGATGGGCAAATTGTCGCACCCCCACAAACACTTTTGTCTGGTGCAGTCCTCGACTACGCCCTCGCGCAAAAACAATTGGCGGGACGATTTCGACGCATCCCTGTCCTCAAGAAGCGGTACCAGAAAGCCAAGCAGCGGCGTGCGGCGTCTCAAGCTCAGAGCTTTACGCCTACCCAGTTTGAGCAACCGTCTACGACTCTATAGGAGGCATCCAAACTGCTGCTATGTGGGGAGTCGAAGCCCAAAAAACTTGCGCCAAGGTATCGAACCGCACTCAGACAAGCACTTGGCGCCCAACTCGGGCACCAAGAGGTACCAAGATCCAGGGGACCAGATCATCATCAACCGCATCCACGCTTTCAAGCAACTACTTGATGCATGGCCGGATGATCAGAAAGGTCACATCAGCCAAGCATGGGCCAGTCCTCAACGGCATCTCCAACACCAGACATACCCATGGTACCAAGTCAAAGGTCCAATGGCAGCCGTCATTGTGTACCTATGGGAGCTAACAGAACCACACCTCTGGCACAGGGACACCACGGAGTACGGCCCAGAGATGACCATTGACCTCACTGCTCCATGGTGGCAGATTCAAACCACCTTACAGCAGGAAGCAGCCTACTAGCGGCTACGACGTCCCAGACAAAGAAAACACTGTGAGCACATCCGCAACGGTCTCGACTGGCAGGTCTACAACCAGCTCCTATGCAAAGCATCCAAGGCACAAGCCAACGCCTTACGAACATGGGTACCAGACCAGCAAGGTCACAAGCAGTGCCCACTATGTCAGGTACCGGCAACCTCCAAGCGCATAGTTTGGTTGTGCAAATGGCACCATGGAAAAGAGCGCCAAACAATGCCCATTTCCTGGTACGAGAGAGTCGACAATCCAGATGAAGATCCACTATGGGCTCGTGCAACCACCCTACGAGGCTTTGGGATGTGGCAGCATCTCGAAACTGTCGAACTTGGCCCATATCAAGGCCATGTCGTCTCCATTGACGCAGCGCCCACAACATACGACAAACGCTCACAGGCCTGGGTTTTTGCACTCTGTGTCCTCTCAGTCTTGGCCGCCTCAACAGGCTTGCAGCCATCACAGGCATACCTCCTGGACAGCAAACCAAAAACAGAGCGCTTTACTATGGCGTGCGCATTCTGGCCCAACATATCACCCAGCCCATCCGGCTTGTCATCCCGTCAGTTGCTATATGGGAAGCCTGGACCGGAACCAAAAAGCAACACAACTTCATGGATATTGATGCCGTCCATGATCCGGCACAGAAGTCCAAGGTCACAGCATTGTATGTCAGTTCCCAAACCCGCGCACCAGATCAGCCAGGGGCCGAACCACATCTCCGCAGAGGAGAGAGGGATGCCGGCTTGACTGCATGGGAACGGGCCAAGGAGTACTATGACGAAGCAAAAGAGCAGTGGCAACAGACGCTCGATGAAGATCACAGCCAGGTCTACCAATATGCCATGGCCAGGATTGAGGCCATCTACAAAGACCCAGCTCACTACATCCACGACAAGCCCTGCCGTACACAAGCCGCCAACACCAAACAATACAAGAAGCGATTTGTGCATAAATGCACTGACCCACCCTCTGGGGATGGCCATCACTGGGAATGTGCCCTTTGCAGTACTCGCATACATCAGGGCCTCACCACCAGTGTCATCGAACAAAAACTACAAGAGCGCTGTCCAGGCAGACATCCAGAACCACCGCCCGAGCATGACAGGGACCAACCAGCTGCTACGGGCAACCAGGGCCCAACTCATTCAGGAACTCCTGAAAGGTCAACCTGCTGAACGCATTGAAGGACAACGCTACTTCATTGAGACAGCCGGATACATCAAGTGTCAGCACTGTGGAACTGCCATTCTGAAGCGGTCCAACGAGACCATGCATTTGGAACAACTACATTAGCAGTCCCTGCATCGACGAGGCTTACAAGGGAGAGGCCATTGGCCACCACGCCCACTTGCTTTGGCAGCTTGGCACCAGGGTTACGCGCAAGCACTGCGGCATTGCTGTCCTCACTCAGGCCCTGCAAAGGTGTCACCAAGGAAGACACACCACAGCAGGCACCTGGCACCCAATCGGCCAGTTCCACACAGGCAACCACGCCCGACAGTGGATTGAGGCCAAGGGAGCTCTTCAAAGGCGCCCCAGAATCGTCGCCGGCGCAAGGCGAAGGGGAAGCGCGAGCGCAAGGCGGCGCTGACCACATCGAGGTCGATTACTTCTGATGCGCTTAGCCTTAGACCAGGGTCAAAGATCCATCCACTCACGCAGCAAAAGCACAACCTTAAAAAAAGATCCATCCATCCATCCATCCATCCATCCATCCATCCACGCACACACTGTCTTCAAGACTTTCATGATTGGTCCCACCTTCGAACCCACATCCAAAATCGAGCATGCCTGGCTTCCGACTCCACTAAGGATGATGCAGGTGAACTGGTTCGTGCCCAACTACAACTCAGAGTTCACCTGATGGCGGGATCATGGGATGACCTTGCCCAAGATGAACCACTTTGAGCGTTCCTCAGCTCTCGCTGCATCCTCTGCCAGCGCTTCGCGCCACGGACCCAGGAGCTGACATCTCATTTGAGACACAGCCACAGCCACCTTGCAGATCGAGCAGTACAGGCTGGAAGAGATTTCACGCACAAACGTCAAAGAGATCCCTGCATCTTTTGTCAACGACCTCGACGACGTCAAGGCCATCTTTGCTCTGCAGCGGTGAATCTACAGCTCTTTGCTCTTCACCACACAGGCATGCCTACTGGCATACCAGGGACCTCCAAGGCGGCGCCCATGCAGAATCAATGCCACCTCTGTGACTTCTGCTGCCTTGATGAGAATCACCTTCACATGGCCTGACCTCCATTCCTTTTCCGCCGGCACCGCGGGCGGATCATGACCTGGACACGATCTACAGGGCCTTGAACGAGGGCACCATTCAGGACTACCTGCAGCACTCTGACAAGCAAGCAACATGTGACCACCACCACCTTTGTCACTCCTTGCAGCCTTTGTAACCTGCAGCTGCCCAAACTGCCTGCTGATATGGTCAAATCCTTTCAGCTGCTCAAGCGCAACTGTCCGGTGATCACGCAGCTTGCTGCCTTGTGTACCGAGCTGTGCTGCCGAGTTCCTCATGCGGGTTTTGGAGTGGGGCCAATTCCCCTTGTTGGATCACACATGGGAGCAAAGGCTGATCCATGGTGACACGATTGAAGTATATGAAAAGGGTGGTGAGCACTGTCTGCTGACTTTCAATTGGATTGAAGAACTTGACGTGCCCACCATCCACGTCTCAGACTGCCCGACCTCCTGGCTTCACCGCCAGGGTATGCGGACGGCCATTGTGTCCGCTACACCCTTCAAATGCTTGCAGTTGGACCGAGGTTACCTCGTTCACGACGAGGCCCTGCGCATTCCTGACGTGCAATTCGAAGAGGTGATCCAAGTCCCAATCTTCGATGGCAACCAGCTGCCGGCCCTACTCGGTAGTCGCCATTTTGGCGCACTTTGGAGACAGGCATGGCGGACACTACGTGGCGCTGCTGCGCCGCGAAGGGCAATGGATTGAGAAGAACGACGGTCAACAGCCGATCTACTTCGACCTGCCGCAGTACATCTGGAAGGCGTGCAGCTGTGGTGCTCTTCATGTGCTTCATGTGCCTGAGCGAGGCTCCTCCGATGTCCTGGACTTGGCCCTTGTCATTGACACGTTCCTCGTCCTCTTCCATTACCAGATTGGCTGGCGCTGTGACCGTGCTTGAGGCAGACCGGGAGGCGGCTGAGACCGGAAGTCAGCAGGTGGAGGCACCCGTTGCGGCCGAGGTCGAACCCACAACGAGACCCAGTACAAGAACATGATGACCTGATGCAAGCTCTGCGGGTCCACTTGATGGCGAGCTGGTAGAAGATGAATCTTTTCTGTGCGCCGCTGCGCGCCGCTGTGTCCTGCGCTGCTTCTGTCCCTCCTCTCCTGTCGTCTCTTGTTTCACTTTCTTAAAGGCTCTTTTTCCTTCGTGAATTGCTCCTGCTTTAGTTTTGACATTCGTTCTGTTGCACATGTACTCGATTTCCATTTCACTTTTTTCATCTATATATCTATCCCTCAGCCTTTCAACTGCAACTCTGCGATGATCGCCTCCCCGGGACTTCGACTTCCTGAGCCACTGTTGCGCACTATTTCTGAAGTCCGTCAACCCTTTTGATGCTGTCGGTGATGTCTGGGAGTCAGCTGGCGACGTTGGTATGGCCTACTACTATTACCACTATATGCCGCTCAACAAGTCCGTGGCCGCTGTGCATTTTCACTGCGCGAGCTTGCTGGCGCGTCTGCCTGGCCGCAGATCCCACAATGACTGTGCCAGACTCAGCCAACAGTGCATCCTGTTTGCTCAAGCTGTTGCCCCTGATCACATGATGGAGCATCGCATCCAGGACCACGAGTGATTTCCTGGACAACTATGGACCCTATTTTGTTGACATGGTCCAAACAACACCTCGCGTACACTGAATCTGTGATTTTGTGCTCACCACAGACACCACTGTTGCTGGCCGACACCTCTCCTCACTTCCAGCCGCTCAAGCACCAATTCCAAGCATCTCCAAAAAGGTTTGCTTCATTTTTTCGCATGGCACTCAGCCAAACCGCCGAGTTTCCCATTGAGAATGGGGCTGGTTGACATGATCTTTGACACTTTGATGAAGCGGGCAAAGAACATTTCCAAGCTGGACATCGAGGCGATGGCGTGGCAGCAAATTGGCCACCCAGATGGTCTGACAGATACGTAGCGCTGACCCTACCCCGCTGGAAGTCAAAAGATTGTCCACACAGACCCTTATGAAGACCCTACATTGCGTTTGTATCCTTTTTCACGAGGCCAGACCCCTCACGGCCACGAAAAGGGATTGCTCGAAGCCACTCGCAGCTGCCACGGCCAAGCGCCTTCAATTTCAAATTTCCACTGCCGTGCGCAATTTCCACGTCACGTTTTCACGGTTTTCACACTTATAGCGTGTGTGTTCGTGATTCGTGAGGCCATACCGCAGCAGTTTTGCAGTTTTGATCCCATTAAGATCGCTGTCCCTTCCTGCGTGTAGCCGTGCTCGGCGCAGGCTGAGAGCTACAGCCAGCGCATAGAAAAGGCTTTCGAATCTTGCTTGCTTTTGCCTGCCCCCAGCCTGATTTTTAGGACACACCGCGCAAAGAGCATCAAGTTCGAGCATGTAGGGTTCCTTTCTTTTGATTCCTAAGTATAGTAGATCTATGTCTACCGCGCCGCGAAGTTGAAAGTCAACACGTAGGTGAGAGCAAAGCGTTCGAAAGGCCGCTTGAGTCCACTGGGTCCCTCAAGCTGATCGCTGACCACGAAACATTTGTGGGATGGCTGCTATCTCGAAAAGACTTTCAGGCTGCAGGACATTGCATAGTTCATCCAGGCAGGGCTGGTTTCCGTGGTGGCCAGCTGGCTTCGAACAAGCTGAACACGATGGTTAGTGGTAATAAAGTCGAAACTAATTTTGATTTTTTTGCACTTCTCACAATGCGGCTTCTGCGCATCACAGTCGTCCGTCCCCACCATCACCGCCAAAGTCACCACCACCTTCACCATCACCACCATCATCACCACCACCAACAACAACCATCACCACCATCACCACCATCACCGCCACCATCACCACCATCACCACCACCTTCACCATCACGGTCACCACCATCAACAACACCATCCCCACCACCATCACCGCCATTGTCACACCATCACCACCATCATCACCATCTTCACCTTGCTTTGGAACCCAATACGGCTACATCTCTGAACCTTCTGGTTCCACACCTCTACACCTTAGATGTTTAGATGCACTATGATGCACTGTTTGGGGTCTTTGCCGGGACATTGATTGCGCGTTGTGTGGATATGTGCGTGCTCTAGAGGAAATTTGGTAATGTACAGTGCGCTCGTCAAAGTTTCGAATTTATCTTTTCAAGGCGTCCAAATTCAGAAGAAGGTTTGTTGCACTTGTCATGACTTGTCATGGCACTGAAGTGTATCACGCAGTTTTTGTGGAACATCAAATTTTGGGTGCAGTTTTTGATGGCGCCCGCCCAGCTTCGCTATTGGGTCATGGTACTCATGCCGCGCTCGTGTTTTTGTGTTGGTTGTGCAAAATGCATTTGTTCTGCTGGACTCAGGACGCTCGTTCGTTCCTTCCATTCTTGGTCCTATCCTTCTAGCACCGTTGATTCTTGACTATAGGGTGTTGGTGTCCCACAGAAGCCTCGCCAATGTGCTTTGTGCCCAAAAACAACTTTTTGAATATGTTGAATACGGTTTCCAGTCATCCAGTGTGAGGATGTTTCCTGTCATCTTCTTTTTTGCCCGTGAATGACATCCTCACTTTTGTTATGTATTTCATGTTTGATGAATTTGTGTGTTACAGGCCGGTGCTTCGCATACCAGCTTAAATCATTTTTTCTAAGCAACAGGACGTCGGTGCATATGCGATTGTCACAAATTGTGAGCGGGCCTGGATCCTGGAGCGAGTCTTCATTCAGACACCTTTCCAACTGTGTTTTGTTTGCAGCAGTTTGCAGGTACAGTATATCTGATCAAATCTTTCAAACACTTCTGTGTTTCCGCAGCATCCAGATTCTTCAAGTTCAACATGGAAGTAAACACCAGCGAAAAATTGATTGATGCGCCAAATACAGATGCTTCCCTGTGGCATTGGGCCAACATGACTGCAACTTTGGCCTGCGATGCGATATGTCGGATCAACAATGGATTTCGAGATCGTGGCACTTGGTGGCAAGCTCTTGAAAATGCTGCTGAACAAGTATGCTGGGGTTGCGATCAGGAGCCATGGCCTAATGAAAGAGATTATGGCCACCAGATATGGCAAGCAATCCATCAAGCAAGTCTCCCCATCCGTACTGTGGCTGCGCGAGCGAACTTGTGGAGTGTGCCATGCCCGAAGGGAATCCAGCGTCGCGATCGCGGAACCCGCTGTTTGATAGGCCATTTTGTGTACGGAATCATGTGTTTTTTCAAGTGGATGGGAGAAGCCGGACAAGAAAATTTTGCTTTAACAAATCTGGAGAGTGTGATGGACCTGGCACCAATAGTCGCAAAAGCACCTTGCAAAGATGAGTGGGCATTCCCTGTTGCAGAGGTTTCGGAAAACTACGAACGCATACTGACGCTTGTTTGGCACCGGCACATGCCAGTTCCAACACACTGGCTCCCGGCATCTGGCCCTTTGCAGTGCAAGCGTCAAAGACTGAGGGAGCCTCAAGAGAGACGCAAAAGACAAAATCCAGTCTCTCCAAGAGAGACACTGAAGGTCTCTAAACCATCAGAACCTGGGGCCCAATACAATGTCCAGTGCTTGGTTCTGGTGGTTTATCCGCAGGAAGTGGAGAGAATGTCAATGGTGTCGGATACCTATGCCAAACACTGTGACTCTCTCCTCTTTTTCACCGCTGGACCCGCACCTTCACATTTCAGAGGATATCCGGTGGTGAACCTTCAGAATGGCTTCGACATTGGCCCTGATTCCCAAGCCAACAGCAATGTCAGTGACCAGAACACCATTTTCAAAACTTTTTTAGCATTCAATTTTGCCGGGCTAGCTATGCAGCGAAGCTCTTCAATACCTGACGTGATTTGTCGGTTGGATTCTGATACGCTTTTCCTTCCCTCAAACCTGCGCCGTATTCTGAGTTGTCGCAATTTTTCTGCTTCGGATCTATGGGCAATTGGCAGGGAGAATTACGCACACAAGCATGAGCAACCAGGTCGTGTTTTCCTTAATGGTGGTACAGGCATATGTTTGTCGCGAGAGGCCGTGAAGCTTTTGTCCTTGGAGATACAAACGGGAAGATTCGCAAAAAGCTCATCCACTAATGATTGGAACACTGGTGATTGCGTCGTTGCTCCTGGACATTGGGATGATGCTGCTTTGTTTGCATTAGGCCCCTTCCATGGGAACTTTGTGGCGCCTTAGTCAGAAGCGTTTTCACCCAGTTTATTGTCAGTGTTGTTCTTTTCCTTAAGCTTTCTTCAACGAACCTTTGTATACTTGATTCGGTTCATGCAACGCAACGCAACACCTGTCAGTGTCAATGCAGCTTGTGTTTAACAAGGGGAGAAGACGGAGCCAGGAAACCACCAGAGTACTCAGGAAACCGGCTCGTCCAAGTCACAAAACCGTCTTGACAGAGTCAGGAAACCGAGTTTACGCTTCTGTCATTGGGCTTGGCACAGGGCTTCACTTTCTTTAGGGTTTCGTTTGGTTCGGCTTGCTCAGTTTGCCTGTGTAGGGTCTCTTTGGGTTGGATTTGAGGCTTCACTTCTTTAGAGTTTCTTTGGGCTTGCTTTAGCACTTCACTGCTTTAGATGGTCTTTGGGCTTGCTTTTGGCCTTCACTTCTTCAGGGTTTCTTTGGGCTTGCTTTAGGCCTTTACTTTAGGGTTTCTTTGGGCTTGCGTTAGGCCTTTACTTTAGGGTTTCTTTGGGCTTGCTTTAGGCCTTTGCTTCTTCAGGGTTTCTTTGGGCTTGCCTTGGGCCTTGACTTCTTTAGGGTTTCTTTGGGCTTGCTTTAGGGCTTCACTTCTTTCACAGCTGGCTTCATACAGTATTTGATATCTCAAGCTCAGAACACCGTGGACATGAGCATCGTCATTCTATGGTCGTTTGTCGGTAGCTGCCTGATGTTTGTGATTTTTGTGCTGCCAATGATTGGGTTTCGCTGCCTTCCATTGTGTTAAAATCGGCCAAATGCTGCTATCCACCGGGGAGAGCTTTTCTTGATCTGGAAATCAACATTTCGACATACCAATTTAGTCACGATTCATGCGAACATGAATAAGAGCAGGGAAGAGAACAGAGGGAAGAGTTCAGCAGCCTCTCGTCATTTCGCTCAACACAACAGAGGGGGTTCTATAAACGTGCGATGGCCACAGTTGACCGTCGCTTGAATCAAACATGAAACCACACCAAACGACAGCAACAAATTTGTTTTTCTGTTTAACGAGTATGCTGCGAGAAGGCAACTATATAACTACTTTTTGATCCAAATACCTCCCCAACACAGCATGATAGGCACGTAAATGATTTCGTTTATGTACCCATCGATCTCAAGCCAATGACTGCAACGCAACCGGTCAAACATTTCGGATCTCAGAAACTATGTCGAAATCACATTGTACACATGTGCTGTGCACACCCGCTCCAAATGCGCGATTCGCACAATGATTCAAGATTCGGGTTAATATACTAACATATACTAACTATTTAATTATAAAGTGGTTTCACTTCCCTGTCAAACACGATGATTTGGGGTATATCATTGACTTGAAGTTCCTTCTATCATGGGTTTGCCATCGGAACACTGCTCCACGCTGCTGGGCTTGGAGTCCGATAGAGGTGACTCAGACTTTGGGCTTGCTTTACCCCAAAACCACTCTAGAGACTGTCCCAAAGCTGTATAAGCACAGGTATTTATATAATTCGTTTGCCACCGAGTTCACTTTGTCCTTTATTTTGAAAGACCTTGCAAGAGCCAGCTTCGGCAGCTTTGGATAAGGATGATAGCGATACCTTTCGATCATGTGTCATTGTCAATCGGCAATCGGAAGCTGTAACAGCGTTCTCCCTTTGTGAGGTTGCCCTTGGTGCATGCTTGTCTAAGCTGGGAGTTCCCATTTCGCCAGAGCCCCGGCAAACCTTAAAGAAGATCGATCGATTCAGCATGTGCACGGTATTCTAGCGGACATGTTGCAAAACAGGCACATCAAAGGAGCGATTTATTGCCAGGCGGTGGGGAACTGATTGCGAAGGCTGGAGATCATTTTCTTGTGAGTTTGTAAAACCACGGTTTTCACTGAAATGCTGCAATGCTTCAATCAATCTGGAATGCCTTTCGTTCTTTTTCCCGAATGCATGACGAAGGGTTCTTGTTTAACTCCGAGGGTCTGGGGGTAGAGTGTTCGCGTAACGCTGTTCTGCCGTCGTCTACCGTTTCCGTTTGCGGATGAAGTGATAGATGAAATGTGTTTTCTCCGAGCTTCAAGCCTAAGTAAGTTTCTCTACACGTCTAGGAACCAAATGAATAGAAGCTGAGCTCTCCTGCGTCCAGTAGCTAGTAGCGGCTAGCTTACTTAGCCCTTACTAAAATTGAGTAGCTGCCTACTTAATCTTGATTGAGTAGCTTCCCCAAAAATCTAGGAACCAAATCATTAGCGTGAGCATGCGTGAGGCTGCGTTCATATGAGCTAGGCTCAAAATTCGCAGTGGTTGCTAAATGCGTGAATCTACTTGCTCTCCGAACTTTTTGCGAAAAGTCGAAAAGTCGTGAACAGCCGAACAGTGCACGAAAAGGCAACGCTGATGAAAAGAGTCACCCGCCAAGAGGTCCCGGGGCTTGCCGGGTCCTTTTGGCGGAAGTCTCTTTTTTGAAGGTGTTCCTGCTCGCGGCTGATTCATTTTGACACGACTGGAGATGTCTGGAAAACAGAAACCTATACCTATATCTGTAGGAACAAAAGCAACGTTTGGATCAATTCTGCTAGACTTTTGTTGAAGGGCACGACATGTGACTGGCGTCCAAAAATCTCGAAAAGTCGAAAAGTCTCGAAAAGTTGAAAAGTAAAAAAGTCTCGAAACGTGAAAGTGAGAATTTGCCGAACAGTCAAAAAGTCTCGCTGCGTGCTTTCGTTTCCTTTACCTTTTTGACTTTTTGATACTTTTTGACTTTTCACACTTTTGACTTTTTGACTTTTCTAACTTTTTGACTTTTTGCGTGTTGCTTGGTGTCTTGCAAACAGATCGTCGCTAAATTAGCTGAAGGATTTAGCGAGCTTAGTCTTCGTGAACGTGACGAATAGTCAGTGAGGGGTCATGGGAGTTCAAAATGTATGTTTTGCTCAAAACACAATAACACACTCACCAAAAACGATAACGTGTCGGATGTGAAAAACGATCATAATATACACTCACCAAATCCTGACCTGCAACTCAAATTTTGACCGTCGCTCTTATGTAGCCTACCCGGCCTAGTGCGTTCAGATTGACTTGTGCGTTTCGTGAGGTCGGCACCGTGAGAGTTGTTTGTTTTGTTTTTGACAGCTAAGATGTCAAGATATCAAAATCAGGTGCTAGTTTTGGAGACAAAGGTTTGACATAGATACTCTTCGCGGCAGGACAAGTACTTTGTGCGTGATGTCATCTTTCTGAAAGTCCCGTATGTATGAGCGCTCGTTCTGTCATTTGTTGGAACAGTTCTTTACCTGCAGCTTCTAGAGGTCTAACATGGAAAGATCTAGGATGGTTGGAATGTGCGTTGTGGACCTTTTTCGCCTGTAGTTTCTGTACTCTATGGGACCTTTTCACCTGTCCTTTGACAAGTGCGGTTTTACTCTTTTGTCTGACTTCTGTGTCTGTGTCACAAGCCTTTGGAGTGCCTGGATGGGTGCAAACGAAGTCAGGAAGTCTATCGGGATTCGATTCCATTTCATGTTGATGGGAAACCAGCCAAGTGTCCAAAATGGAATCCCCAGACCTGGCACAGGCAAGGTAACGGCCTGGATAGCGACCATGAGGTTTTGGAGGTTTGCGTGGAAGTGGTTGGTCGCAAACCGTTTGGAGTGTCTTTTGTGAGGTATCATTGAAATGGAGAGCTGAAAGCACTGTATGTCAAAGCGGTTTTGTTCATTTTAGCTTCTCCTCAGTGACCCTGCGTGTTAATCAACAATTTCTCCCCGCACACTAATTTCTGTGTAGTTTTTCTCTCCAGTGGCCCAGTGGCCCTGTGCATGACGTGCGTTTTCTCTACTGTAATTAATATGAGAGTTCTTTGAACGTGTTTGCATAGCATTGATGGTCGAATTGTGGCCGATGCAATTATACATCCTCAAGCTCTAAAGGGGTCACGCCATGGGATTTCCTTGGTGGTTACCTTTCACGGTTGGGCTGATCTCGGGACAGGTGAGTGGAATCCTGAGTTCACTTTGGCTGTGGGGTAGCCGACCGGTTGACCTTAGTGGTCTTGTGAGAGCTGTGCGACGTGCTGTTTCCGAAACATTGCGGTTCTGTGTGGAATCCGAGACAACAACAAGAGCAACAACAACAACAACAACAAGAACAACAACAACAACAGCAACAACAACAACAACAACAACAAGTACAGATGGCAGGTTGGTGCACAACGAATCCGGACTCCCCTTTTGGGTGGTTGGGCTTCTAGTCACGAAAGCTAGCAGCAGCTAGCTAGCTTTCATCACCTACCCTCGGCCTCAAGTTGGTGCCTTTGCGGTTCGTGTGGTGTTGGGCATTGTCTGTTTTCTGGTGGCCTGGCGTTTTGTTTCTCCCAGTCGGGAGGTTGAGGAGGACAGCAGCCCCAGCGGATCTAAGAGCCCAGGGTCGAGATTGATCCCCATTGAGGCGTTGGCGCAACAGCAACTTGCAGAGTTGAGGATTAGGCGACATGATGCTCAGCAATCGAGTCGCCCTTCTGGAGTATGATGTTCCTGGCCCGGTGGTGAACCACGAAAGGATGATCCTCGATCACGTAGTCGGGGACGAGTACGTGGTCTGCGCCCCCGACAGGGACATTTTTGTAGAGCAGCTGTCAGCCGACAATTCTGACCTCCGATCGTTTCGTCTTCGTCCATCCCCCCTGCAACTAACTGTCTACGGTCTGCCGAATTGGACTGCGGCTGAGGTGGCAAGCATCCGAGATGAGGCTTCGAGGTTGGCAGCGACAGAACGGGCGGGTTGAGGAGGTGCAGGAGCAGGAGCAGTTGTTGCTGTTGCGGGGGGGGCCGGCGGTGGCTGCGCCTGCAGTCCCATCTACCCCAACCCCTGACGCAGCCCCTGGATGGAGTGAAAGATCTGGTGCAGGGTGTTTTGTACTGGGTTGCAGCTGTGAAGGCATTGAAGGTGTTCGATATGGGAAGGTCATCGAGGGTGTGGCCGCTCCAAAGGTTCTTGATGCGAAGACAGTGCATCCAATGGCTGATGGTCGGCAGTTGTTTTGTTGTTGCATCAATGACTCAAGGTGGCAGAGTTCAACAATCGTCCTTCGTTGTGCGATGGTAGGCTGTTGAGCAGGAAGTCAAATGCCATGGGGACACCTGAAATGCCTCTTGCTGAGGCGGCGACTGGGGCCAAGGAGTTTGACCTTGGGTGGAAGATCAATGGACCTAGAACTGCCAAGTGGTGTCTGAGCTACCTCTCTCTGTTGAAGGACTGGGATTGGAAGGGCATCACGAGCGTTTTCGACAGGTCTGTAGGCTGGACTCAGGTACTAAGAACATTTCCAGATCTCCATCATGCTCCGACAGTTGCGGCAGACAGATAGTATCAATGGATGCAATTCCCTTTCCGCAGAGCTCATGTTTCGGAGGCTGCAAACTGTCGAGTACTCGCGTGCAGAGCGTGCCCGTGATGCAGAATCGAAGGCTATGGGCTTGTCTTCAAAACTGGCGCTGGAGGAACAATTTGTCTTCGGCTCATTGGTGAGGACGGCTGGGACTTTCATGGTGTGCCCTACATTGCTGCAGCATGTAAAGGAGGAGACAGAAAGAGAAGTCCTGTTGGCCAAAAACCTTTGCAAGGCCAAGGAGGAGAGGGAGCTCGCAGCACCTTGGCGGGTCGTCGGTCGATATCGTTGGAAGCGACAGGAGGGATGCCGGTTTTGGAGGGGCGTGCAACTCTTCATGCTATCAAACATGTTTTGGGGAGACAGAGTGGTTTTTCAAAACGGCATCTTGTTTTGTCTGATTACATGTCGGCAATTGGGGCGATTGGCAAAGGAAGAGGCAAGACTTTTGGACTTAGGCATGTCACTCAACAAATTGGGGCTCTCCTCCTGGGGTCGGGTAGTTCAGTGAACCTTCGCTGGATTCCATCCGAAATGAACCCAGCGGATGGGCCGTCTCGCGGCTCTTTGTTCCCAAGCAAATATTCCGGGTGCCTGGGAGTGATGGTGCTGCGCCGGCTGATAGTAGTCGGAACCCCTGCGAAGAAGACGCAGAAGAATGCAAAGCAGGGCAAGCCTTCAGCGCCGTCAACGAGGTCCAGACAAAACCGGAGGCCGTTAGGCCATGTGAAAGTGGGTCAACCAAAAAGCAAGCGGTATCAAAAAGGTGGCCGGCTCCAGCTAATGCTTCACCAACTGCCAAAGGAGACACTCAGCGCAGCCATGGCCGCCTTTCACAGAAGAGAGGCAACCCTGCGCAGCCTGCGTGTGAAAGTGATGCAGCCTTCACCAGCTTCAGTCTTTCTCGAGATTTTTTCAGGGTGCGGCCGCCTGGGGCGTGGCATTGGTCAGTACAATTCGATCTGCGTTCTTTTGTGGGACATTACATTAGGCCAGGAGTACGGCCTTCTGCTGCCTTCTAAACAGCACCGGATCGCTGAATGGCTGCGATGTGGCTGGATCGAAGGCTTCCATTTAGGGACTCCTTGCGAGGGTTGTTCGAGGGCGCGAGACGTGCCGCCCGGACCACCTCCACTAAGGTCGGCCCAGAGATGAAGCGAAGGTGAAGATAGGCAATGCTTTCACGAGATTTTCTGCATGGCTCCTACGACTAGCTTTGTTTTTCCAAGTTTTTGCTACCATGGAGAATCCTCGCAAGTCCAGGATTTGGCTTTGTGGTCCTTTAGCTGCTGTGATGCGAAAGAAGTATGTTTTTTTGGCAAGTTACCGGGGCAAACCGTTCCGGAAGGCAACCGCCTTTGTGCCAGTGAACTTTGAGCTCAAACGGCTCAATGACACACTGTGCAAGGGTGGAAAGCGGGGAATTTGTTTATACGCACAGAAGCCTCGCATACACCTGCGCGGTCGCGACCACAATGGTCATTGGCTCACTCGAACAGCACAACCTTACCCAGTTCGGATGTGCAATGCAATTGCCAAGGATTTTTACGATGCTCGCTGCGCTCGTAGAGCAAGCAACTTTGAGAAATCCCTGACGTGACGGCTACGCCAGGGGGCGTGACAAAGACGGGCCACAATTCGGTGTCGCAAGCGAGGTGGCAGGCGCGAAAGATGCACCTGTCGCTACAGTTCCTTTTCGCAGTGGATGAGACACCGTCTGGCCTGATGCTGAAAATCAAGTGCGGCTGCGTGAGAGTTCTTTGAACGTGTTTGCATAGCATTGATGGTCGAATTGTGGCCATGCAATTTTACATCCTTAAGCTCCACCCAACCCGTTTGACACTGGCCCTCCCTGAACTGGGGCGCTCCCGAAGGGAGGTGCAGGTGCGAAAGATTTGCACCTGTCGCTACAGTTCCTTTTCGCAGTGGATGAGACACCGTCTGGCCTGATGCTGAAAATCAAGTGCGGCTGCATACATGTGTTGACGGACATGACATATATATATATTATATAATATATATATATGCTAAACCCCCCAAAGACCTACGATTTGTGCCTGTTGCACGCCTGTTTGAGTGATATTTTCAGATATCAGATGAACCTTTTGGACAATTCACTGATTTCAGAGAACAAATTGAACAGCGTAAGTTTGACCATATTGTGGTCTTTGACTGGGTGTTAGTTAAATCATCAATAGGTTCTAATTGTTTTGTATCGCCCGCGCCTATGATGATTTTATGGTCATATAGATTTCATCAAAGACGAAGACATCAAAATTGCTACGATCAAACTCTGGTAGTTCATCCCCCTCATGAACTTGAATTCTTAAAACTTATGTCATAATAGGTTGCTGTGTCACCTTCTATTTCTTGACTTAACCGGTTATGAGGCACTACAATTTTTTGGCAGCTGTTTAAAATGCTGACCTATGTAACTCTCGCCTGATCCAGCAAAATTTGCTCTGATCATGCATGGGTTGGTTATTCAATTTGCTTACATATTCCGGGGGTGTCCCATTCATCCACTACCTCTATTGGTTCATTTTCTAGTTTTTGAATTTCGATTAAGTCATTATATCAAAATACTTATTGGTTGGAAACTTGATTGATTTTTCTGTCAGTCTCCACTCGCCTATGCCTTCTTCAAAGTTCAATATTCCAGTCTGATATGATTTTAAAAAACGACTTGGTTTGCCCATCACTCTAGTCAAATCGTCTTCATGGATCGTGAAGGCTTCACTCTCCACTGAATAGACCTTAATATCATTTTCTGAAAATCTATTACGCTTCATACATTGAAAAGTTATGATATTGAAGAAGCAACTCTTTTGTATCTCTAAGCCCATTGACCAATTCATTTCTATTGGTGGTGTTTAAGATGTAATAGGTATTGCGCGTTTGTTTCTTCTTCTTTTTCTCTTTATTGTTGTATGACGCAAATCCTTCCTCCAAACTCCTCCTGGTAATGGCAAGCCTCCCTCAAGGTGTAAAACCGTAACTCTTCTGTGCGGTGTTGTGATGTTTCCTATTTTCTTTTTGTCATCTTTAGTAAGATCGGTTTCCCATAGTTCATCAACAATCTGGTCATAATTGGCCGTATGAATGAAGGAGTTTTATAACAAAATATGTTTTCATTGTTTGCTTCCAATAGTTTTCTTAAGCACTTTCCATATATTAACTTATGCCTCTTATTGAAAAACATTTGATGCCTTCACTTCCACCGTATACAATGTAAAACTAGATAATTTGCTAATGTCAATGTCATCCCTGTAATGTTTCCAACTATCAAACTCATTTTAAAAACGGTATGAATTTAGTCTGTGTAGATGCCGATGTAAAGTCCTGTCAATATCAGTTTTGTTGTATCAATATGAATATGTTTATCAAAATAACCTGATGGGGCTATAACCCCACAACGTTTTTATCATGTTATAGTTTGATATATTTGTGTCATGTCTTATTGCATGATGACCCCTGAGATGCTGACTGCGCGTTGGTTTCAGGAAAGGACGTGTACAAACGCATTTGTACGCGTACATTGCTCAAACCAAGAAACCAAGAGCCAAGATTGCGCACAACACTTGTCAGGAATCTTGGTTTGACGCAGCCAATGTACATTACACAAGTTGGATGACCTGGGTCTCAAAGGACACACCCCAAAGTACAATGGTCAAACCAAGAAACCAAGAACCAAGATTGCGCACAGCTCTTGTCAGGAATCTTGGTTTGACAGTCAACGTGGATGACCTCCTGGGTCTCAAAGGACACACCCCAAACCAAGATTCATTTTCATAGGTCTGCGCAATCTTGGTTCTTGGTTTCTTGGTTTGACCATTGTACGCGTACAGTACGCGTACCAATGATGTGCAGTGAGCATCTCAACAGTTAGCGTACAATAAGACATGTATATATATATATATGGTACTCCCCTTTCAATAAATTGATGGATGAACATCCACAGCCGTGAAGCAAGCAAAAATGGTAGATCTTTGGGGGGGGGCACCATATATATATATATAGTTATTGTGTGGCACTGCCCGGCATTATACACGCGCTATCATACGGTCACAAAGTCAATTCACGATGCAAAGTATATAGAAATGTCATTCTTTAGATTTGTTTAGTGAACCTAAGGTCCTGGGTTTAAACCGTTCAAAGAATCAAAGAATGTTTGACCCCAAAGAAGATATTCCACATCAAATCCCACTTCCGGCGAACTATCCTGCTCGACCATTCTAGACCTTTTTGCAGAGGAAGTTATGGTTTTCTGCGCAAAAAGAAGATCCGAGAGCTCCTGAGCGAAGGGTTCTTCTAAACCAGATGACGGATGGCCCGAGAGCGTCTAGGAGTAGAGTTACTCTGGTGTAAGGTATGCTTGTATTACGACGAAACAGTGCAGTGAAGAGAGTTGTGAGATGGTGAGAGAGAAAGTGGAACGCAGGAGGAGGGAAGCAAAGATGTTTTCCTGTCGATGACACCGCGGGCCGTATGTTTAAACAATGCGTGTGGACGACGCATTTGCGCTAGCTACACTCCCACTCCAGAGTTCCCATTTCTGAGGCCACAGTCGGCGACAGTTACACACTTTGACAACGTCCACCTTCATTTTCGATGGCAGTTTCGCACTTATCCATCTTCGTTCTCGACGACTGTTACACACTTTGGCCACTTCCACCATTTTTGACGACAATTTGTCAACTTCCACATTCCTCATCGATGACAATTTCCACCTTCGCTTTCGACGACTAGTTGCATACTTGGGAAACATCCACGGTACACACTTTGAGTTGGCAACTTGTCCACCTTCATTTTCGACGACAGTGACACACCTTGAAAGCAACGACAGTCCACCGTTTTTTGACGACAATTACACGCACTGGGCTGGGGCAACGTCCACCTTTGTTTTCAACGATGGCTACTACACACTTTGACTAACATCCACCTTCATTCCCGACGACAGTTACACATGTATTCGGCAACGTGCACCTTGATATTCGACAATACCCGTCCGGTAATCCATACTAAAATCGGGTAGCTCAGCCACACTAAATATTAGAATGTTTTTAAAAAAATCACGTACGTCCAGGACTTCATAACGAGAAAACATATCAGAAATTCACCAAAAGCCCTTGGTCCAGAATTTCAGAACAGTATGTTAAATCATGATATGACATATATGACTGACTTAAAAGACCACATGGTCAGACACAGGATTCTAGAGGTCAGGTCCTTGAGGGTCAAGGTAGGATCAACTACTAAAGGTCTAGGATGGGTGGGCCTGCAGGGCCGCCAGACATAGGGTCTAGCACGGTGCCTTCCAGCACTGTAGACCCGAAACTGTTGAGGCTTTTCAAATGCTGGAAATGCGAACCACAAAGCCGGCGTAACTAGCACCACTGTAGGGCAAAATAAGTGTCGAAAGGTGCTCCTGAAAGGGTTCTGTTTGTACACTTATTGAAGGCCGGCATTTTCAGCATAATCGTGATTTGTGGTCGATTAGAGTGAGAGAGATTCTTCCAGTACAGACGGTTCATTCTCACCAGATTATCGGAAGAGAAAAAATAGAGTTTCCTTCGCATCGAAAAACATTAGTCAGGGTCAATGACAGGATTTCATTATGAATCATAATGGCGTCTTATCAGCGTGTCCAAACCTCAGTCCCAGGACTTTAGAAACACCCCGGCCCAGAATTTAATAAAGCCAATAAGAATCATGTGTCTTTTTTGCATCGTACCTTGGGACACTAAAAATACAGAAATGCCCTCAGTCCCGAAGGACCTTATAAAACAAAATCCTGAGTTCGACCTCTCGGCGTTATTCAACGGGTATCAGACAGTAGCTACACACTCTGGGGACGCCCACTTCCATTTTCGGCGACAGTTACACACTTTGGCAGCGCCACCTTCGTCTCCAACCACATTTAATCATTTGGAAGCGTCCGCATTCATTTTGGATGACAGGTGAACACTTTGGCAACACCCACCCTCGTTTTTAAGCCGCAGTTGTTTTCGTCCACCTTGATTTAGTTTGGACCAAACAGTTACACCTTTTGTGTGTTAAGGAAGATGTTTTCCAGTCGACGACGACGAACGACCCGGGAGCGTTGAAAGACATGCGTGCAAGTTCTGTCGGTGCTTAGTAACTAAGTCTATGTTAAAACTGAAGGTTTCAGCCTGAAGACCTTTTTCAGGCTTGTGCAAAAGCGGCTTCCAACCGTCTCAGTTGGGTTTGTTTCAAGTGTCCGTTTTGGTACACCCTTCGTTTTGTGCGTGTCATCCTTTGCGGACGTGCACTCCTCCTTGGTCGCTGCCCTTTTCGGCGGCAGACCAACTTCCAAAAAGCGAGCTCTAGGCTCAAGCCGCCTCAGGATCCGCAGACTTTGCACTGTCGGATCTCAGTCATCGGTCCCGTGACCGCATTGCACCGAGCATCGGTGTGGAAGTTGCCGAGCTGGTCCTCATAGATGAAGCTCGTCTCTCGAAGACTTCTCTGGCCTCTGGTGGCCCTTTGACAGGCTCCACACACCGGCTGTTCATGAACTCGGTTGGCCTTCCTCAATCCCCTGCAGCTCTGCTGTCTATGGAAGCACTTGCTGGACTC